TCTGCTGCTGGCACTGACTCTGGCTCTGGCTCTGGCACTGGCACTCGCACCGTCACCGGCCCTGGCCGGTGCGCAATTTTCTTTCATATTTTGTTTTGGCCATTACATTGGCTACTTTTTGTCGGTCATGGTGCATGAATGCCTCTGTGTGTGGGGGGGGGGGCACAGGATGGTGTTTGTGTGTCTGTGTGTATGGCTGTATGGCTGTGGGAGACATTCGCGTTGGCTATTTTCATTTTCTTTTGATTTTGATTTCATTCATGCAGCATTCGGCTTTGATTTAATTTCAAAAATGTGACTAAAATGTGCGAGTGAAAATTACGGAATCAAATAAAAGATTGCCCCTTGTGAGGCAATTCAATTTGGGGGCTCGTACGCTTAAAGCCAACCAAACTTTAACAACATTTTTATTCCAGCTTAGGTTACCTTTTGCCAGAGTAAAAGTAATTTGTATTCCCTGGTAGTTTCACAATTTAAAACTCTCTTCTATTCCCTGGGGATCTGCAGGGGATAAAGTGGTTCATATACTCGTTCGTGGCGGAGTGTGGAGTGTGTATGAATATTTTTCCATTTCCAATCTGAAATTACAAGCCCTAAACATGCTCAAGGATACTCTGCTGCAGGGCCACGTCCAGGCCACAATCGGCCATTTTTCTTGCGTCCCTCCGTTGTTGCGTGTCCCGCCCCATTGTTTTGGGGTCCGTTTCTGCGTTTCTCCGTTTCAGATATTTGAATTTCACGCGCGCATACACTGGCAAGGATAAACTGGATTTATATCCGCTAATGCCTGTGATTTGTTCTATAAAATTACTTTATGCCTCCAACATGCTGGCGGACCTTGTTGGGGCTTTTGTTTTCGTGCCCCAGCAAGGACAGCCGCCACTGTGGGCCTCCGCCTCCTACCCCGCCACGGCCCAGCCAAACCAAAGCCAGTGCTTACATTTTCTGAGCGAACGCCTCGGCAGCATAACGACTTATGGCTTTATCCTTTTTGTTGGCCAAGTGTGGGTAACTGTGGGTAAATGTCGGATGTTTGCCGTTTTATTGTTTGGCTTATGTTCCCTGATAGTGTGCGTGCCAGCCTTAGATATATTCGTACTCCTACATATAGTATGTATTGTATGTATGTATCGCTGTGCATGTTTGTGGGACTATGTAGAAAAATGTTAGCTCTTGTGCGGTCAACTTTAAAACATTTGCGGACTTTTGCCGCCCGAATGGTTCTGCCAGCCAAGCCATGACTGGCCGGATCAGTCCTTGGGCTACCAATCAAGCATATATTTACATTGGAAAGCCACATGGCCACAAATCAATTAGTAAATGGCTGGTGTCCGTGTCCTGGCAGGACAAGAAACTGCACGTTCAAAAATGATTAACTGTCACGCTCGGCCGCACAGTTCGGCCAAGTTACTGGAGCGAGCCGCACACAAACGGCGGTAATGAGGACAGGAAATCAGTTTTGAAAAGTATTTGTTGGGGAATAGACGAAGGGGGGGTGTCAGACAGGAAGGAAGGCCGGTTTGGCAGCTGCCCCGTGTCTAATGAACACCATGGAATGTGCACTCCTAGGTCGTATTTTGTATTGTTCTGTTCTGGGCTACCCCTGTCTGCCAATCAACCATAATGGTTCGAGAATGCTCAAAGCGCCGTGGGGCTAACAGTCTAACAGTCTGACTGACAGCTGGACGAACGGACAGACAGACAGACAGACAGGAGACTGGCCACAACGGCTCGAGTTGATATAATTGCGTTTTGCCCTGTCATTGCAACAGGCGCCGGGCATCGACCGACAGTCATTCTCCAACATATCCTACCATTCGTATTCGTATTCATATTGTACTCGTAGTCACTGGGGATTGGCCCTCAGGCTAGAGCATCGTTCATCGAGCTTGAATCATCGATGGAGAAGCTGCCAAAGTGCAAATATTGATTGGGAAATCAATTGAAAATGTTTATACAAATGCTCGGAAAATGGTCTTTATGTTCGAACGTACATATGTCTGCAGTTTGTATTTGCTGCAATTAGCGGTGGAGCAGGGGCAAACAATTGGGGCCCCGGCAAGGTGTCAGTGGGCAACTCTTTAATTATTGAGGCCTGTCTTTGGCCTCCTGTGGTTCGTGGGCAATCAATCACCTGACCAGCTCAATAGTTCTTAAATTATCCTCTGGCAAACAATAATTGACTTTAATAGTGCGCTCATTAATCACTCATTCAGGACTATTCATTCAGGAATGGGAGGGAGTGCAGAGATGCTCAAACTGTGAGTGGCGGTCAGCCATGTGGTTGCCCGGAGGTTGAAGTTGAAATGGAGCGAATACCGTGCTCGTAAACAGTTATTATGATTCCGGTCTGTGGTTGGTGTGGGGGGAGTGTATTAGATATTTTTGAACACCTGCAAGGAAAGTTTGTTGCCATCTGGGAATGAATTGAATTGAATATGGAAACCCATAAAGTTCTTCTTGATGAATCTCTCTGAAGCACTTAAAATGGATATCCCTCCGAATGGGATTTGTTGTTACATTCGGCAATAAATTTCAATTGACTTGGAGGCCTAATCTAGTTGTTAAAGTCAGAACGGAGCAGCAGCCCACGAGGCAAGCAACGAAGTTGCTGCAACAGTTGCCCACTGCGGCTTGTCTCGGGGGCCAGAGCGTTGATTAATGTTGATTGATTGATTATTTGCGTTTTTCTGACATGATGCACGCTTTATTGTCGCTCAGCGCGTGGAAAATCATCAATTTCCGCTTGTAAAAAAATAACAACACGTACAACAAAACGTAGCTGCTGTCAAAGCAACCTCGTTTTTTCCATCTATCCATCCATCCATCCCATCCATTCATCCATCCACCCATCCAAACATCTACCCAGCCATCCAGTCACTCAGTCAGGCAGTCGAGCCAGTGGGATGGCTATGGTGGAGAGTAAAGCCTCCTGCCAACGCGACTCGTGGCTTGTTGCAAAACCCAAAGAAGTCGCCTCCTCTCTTTGCCTGTAATGAATTTTTTTGTGCGCCCTTCTGGGAGGCAGTCAGCGGAGCATAATTGCGGTTGCTGAGCTCCTTGTCAGCGGCTCGTCGTGCAGTTCAAATTCGTTATTTTCCCCTGTTTTTCATTGTCTTTTCTTGGATATATATTGGCCAGCCGCCAGCCACCAGCCACCAGCCACCAGCCACCAGCCGCCAACTGACAACCGCCAACATTCAGCCGCCAGCCGAAGTCTTTCTACTGCAATGTGCCATCTCCCATCTGGCAGTTGGGTAAAAAATGACGTAAAGTATTGCGACATTCATGTCAAAAAATTCGACATGATTATAAAGCCAGGGGTGGGGGAGGATGGGTGTATCTGGAAGCCAGAAGCCAGTGGGGTCTTAGCTCTTTGGCCCTGCAGCCTCTGGTGTCTGTTTGCTCCCGTCCCGTCTCCGTCTGTGTACTCGTCTCCTGCCTTTTCCTGCGGCCAGATGCCCGTGCCTCTTGCCTGCGGCTGACGGTTGCGGTTTTGTCTACCGTGAGTCTTGGTCTAGGTTCTGGTTCTGTCTGTGGGTCTGGGTCTGAGTCTGGCCGGCCGGCCGAGGCAATGATTGAATTTTCGTAAATTTTGGCTCGTTAGCGTGCGGCACGAACACGTACGTCATGCTGGGGGCTACGATACCAGACCGGCGAAGGCATTATGCCATATATGGCAAGTGGCAACAAGTTGCCAGCTGCTCCAGTGGCAGTCTACCAGTCCTACCATGCCCTACACCCTGCAACATACACTCACAACACACTCACACTGACGTTCGCACTTGACACGCTTCATTTCATTGGGTTTTGTTCTTTTGGCCTCACGTTATCCGATTATTTCCATATTTTTCGCGCTGTCAGACACGTTTTTTACTTACTCCAGTCGTTGACATTTTGCGTGACTGACGATGGACGCGTGGTGTGAATAAATGAAAATGAAAATGGAATCGAAATTGGCGCCGCTGGCGTAGGCGTAAGCCCTCCGCCTGACTCTGGCAATGTGTTCGTTCGTCCTTTGCCACTTTGTGTCTTAATTATGATTGCAAAAGGCGGAAGCTCCCATGCGGCTGTTGCCACATGGCAAATTAAATTATCGATTTCCTCCTAATTTTCCCAATTTTCCAAAGTCTTGCCAATGAGTCAATTGGGAAAAGAGGTCCCAGGAAAACAGGAAAAGTGGGGAAGAACACACAGATTATAACTATGTAAAATAGCTTATAAAATCACTGCCAAGTTACTGCATGAACACATACTAAATGTCAACAAGTGCCTCGAAAATGTCCAGCGCAGACATTACGTATACGCAGCGGGTGTCCGACGAGTGGTCGGCCATGAGTGTGTCGAGTGCGAACAAATATAAATTTTTCAATTTTAAAGCTCAATTCAGTGCCGTCACCTTTGCTCGTACGTGCCGGCCACTGGAAGCAGTGGAGTAGCCGGAAAAAATGTCGTTTAAATGCCACCTTGCCCCACATGGCACCATCAGAGGGCGAACGAAGGAGACAGAGTGAAAAGCGAGGCACAAATATTTGACACCCGTGCTGCCAGCCAGACGCGTTCACCCCCTGCACTCCGGCATGCAGGCGCAAAAATTTCTCATGTGCACTTTGGCAAACAAATTAAGATTTATTGAGCCAGGGCGGGGTCACAATCCTGGGTGGACGGTGTCCAGTAAGCTGGCAGCTCAGAGCAGGAGAGCAGCAGATCGGTCAGAGTGGGCAGGGGAGTGTGTCCCCTGTGTCTCCGCTTTTATTTGCACAGAAGAATAGTCGAAATATTTGAGGTACGGGTACGGGATGGCACTGGGATGCCACACTTTAAATTGCCTGCATATTCTCGGTATATTTTTCGATTTCCTTTTTATTTGGCCAAGCCCTTTTAATGGTTTTTCAATTAAGCCACAATTGGGCGAGCATCGATGTCGATGATTTTCATTGTAATTGCTTTTTCTTCCGCACCTATAACCGAGTCTTTCTGCTTGTTTACCCCGCCCACAGATGGACAATCGGACGTGGAGGTGCAGCTGGTGGTACCCAGGTATGTGGAGCGCGGCTCAAGCGCCACATTCAAGTGCCGGCACAATGTCCAACCGGAAATACTCTTCAAGGTAAGTGGCGATGGATTAGAATGGACTCAGTCCATTAGCGTGGCGTGACCTGGATGAGGCCATGCATGGCTTTGGGATATAAATTATGGAAAGCGCATTAAAAACTTTAAATTGAAAAATAAAAACTCTCGCTCGCTCCCTCTCCCTATCTCACATGGAAACTTTGTTCGCCTTGTGCTACTTTGTGGGCTAAAGTTTCCGGCACTGTGACAAACAAAACCGACAAACAGAACATGGAGAAATTTTAGCAAGTTTCGTGCCGCAACTTTGTGGCAGTCAAAGGCATCCCGCATCGCGCATCGCGGACTCTGTGCAGCAAACTAACTTGCACTCAAAGTGCCATTCTAAAGGCACCATCGAAGGGATCGAGTCGTAAACCGTTTACCACTTCCGTCTCAATATCGGCTCCTGGTTCGTGGCTTCTGTTCGTTTCGCTGTTGGTTTCCCAGACGCGGCAATTAATTTCACTTCAGTTTACTTAATTCCATCACGAAACATCAGCAGACACGCACTTGCGTAGGCGAAATCATTACCAAGCCCTCGAACTCCGCCTGATCCGTGTCCCGCTTCGAGCAGCCGTGGAATTTATGGCAAACATACTGCCCCAGTCACCGAGTCCGGCGCAACTTGACCGCATAATGGCCCAGTGGCCCATGTCCTCCATGCCGCATACTTTCAATTTAGTTTGGAACTTTGTGGCGGGGACGCAGTTTGGAACTACAATTCGCACAGCTCCAGTGGGCATTCCGACTCAAGGCCAGCCCCAGAGAAGCCCAGAGAGAAGCCTCCTCTGCGTCCAGGTTAACGGTTGACGTTTACGTTTTGTTCACTCTAAGTACCATAAAAAAAGCGTACAAATTTTTATGGCACATCAAGAAGGAATGGCGTTGGCCGGAGCAGGGGCCAGGACAGGGACAGCGGCAGTCAGCAGTGGATTACATTACTCGTATATTGATTTTTTTTTCCATGAAACTAAGATGGATTTAGTGCGCTAAAGTTGATTATAGAAATGAGTGAGAGAGCTGTTCCATTCTCTGTTGCTCCTTGTCCCTTGTTCCTTGGCCGAATCGTGATCCGGGGCAACTTTAAGCTGGCTTTGTGTGTGTGTCTCGTGTCTCATTTGCATGGAAATTCGTTCGTGCGATTTGCCGCCAAAGTGTCAGCGAACAAGTTTAATGCGCCGCTGAGCCGCACAAATGTGAAATGTGTTCCGGGGAGTGGGCACGGCTCAGGATCAGGGGCCACGGACCAGGGACCACGGAACACGGACCACGGACCACGGACGGGTAACATGTACAATTAGCTGGCTAACCAAATAACCAAACAGTCAAATAGCAGCGACGCCTCCGTCGCTACATGCAGATGTAGACATTCGTTTATTCGGGCAGTTGGTCGAGTTGTGGCCAGTGCGATGGCTAATTAGTATAATTAACTATATACTCGTGAGCGACGCCCGATCTCATTCGAATTGTGGCCCGAAGCGTGGCAAATTGTGTGGAAGTGGCACTAAAAAGGCAATTAAAACGCAAATGCGAATACTGTCGTCCGCACGGGCCGCTTTACACATGTAGAGCATACATTTTTGGGTATTATTTGTACATATAAGCAAAAAAAATATTTATGCACACAAATTAAATAAACTAATTACGCCATAAGCCAGGGGGAATCGACGGCAAAATCGGGGCCAGTGCACATTAATGTGCTTTTGATTTGCCGCCTGCCAGGCACGACACTTTTCAGCATTTGTGACAAGAGACCTGGGAACAAAGCCCGGCTCGCACGAGTATATGAACGAGTATATGCGGGGCTAATAAGCCCAAACATCAACATCAAGAACAAAAGGTAAAGGCAAAAGAAATAAAGTCGAGCACTGGAGCACTGGAGCACTGAATGGGGCTCCGAGCAGCAGACACGCCAAAAGCAAACACATGCCGGTTGGCCTGCCGACTCCTGTGTCCCGCGACTCCTGAGTTGGCAAATATTTGGAGTGGGAGGCGAGGCCTTTGTTTTTCATTACTTTGAGAGATCCATTGGCGGTATTATGACGATACGGTGCTGCATGTCAAATCGAGGGAAAATGTTTGGAACGACCACAAGTGGTTGATAAAATTTGATGCGTGTCTGGCGGTTCTAGAGTGCGGTAATGGCCGCATGGTCATTCTTCCCGCATTCCCCCCGGCCAGTGGCCACAATATTTGTGTTTGCCCTCTCATTATATGGCAGGGGTGTGTGCTTTATCGATTGACCGGCACAACAAACGACCCACAAAACGCTAAGCACACACACAAACACGGGGACACACACACACACACACACACGGTAGGCATTACGCATACGCCTCGCCGGCCGCGCACACATTCAATGAGCACATTTATATTATTAAGTTGCGTGCAATCAATGCAATTCGATGGGAGCGTGTCAATCGGGCAATCAGCAGACGCCTGGGAGACACACGTGGAATAACTGAGTGAGTGGCCACAGTACACAGTGCAGAGTTGTCACTGCCCCGAGGGGCAGCCGGATAAGACCAGATCCAAAGAGCGAAATAAATTACTTTTCAACTTTAATCCAGCACCACAAAAACGATGAACAAATATGATTATACCAAACGCAGAAAAGCGGGGGGACTGGCGTTAAAAAATATACATAATAAATAAATGCTCGGTGTAATTAAAAAACTGGCAACAAGAGCCGCCGCCGCACATCCGGCCACCACTACCACTACCATCAGCATCACCATCACCATCATCCATCCGGGCTGTAGTCCGGAATGTCTCCCATTCTGTCCCTCAGTTAGTTGTAAGTTGAATGTGGAAAACTTGCGCATGAAAATTAATTTCCATTTTCATTATTCATATTTGCCGTTGACGTTGCACATTTAAGCCCCTGCTCTTCCATCTCTACCATGTTGCAACTTTTTGTGTGGCATCCTTTGCGCTGCAAGTGGCATTTGCACGAGTAGATTTTGCTTTTAATTGCAGGGGAGACATGCGCAAAGTCCCCCTTCATTTCGCCATTCCGCCATACTGCCATACTGCCATACTCCCATTGCCATTGCCATTCCAATAAAAACATTTTATTATTTACAGTTTTACAGTTTAACGCGCAAACAATTCGCACAACAACGTTTGTTGCAACTTGTTGCAAAGTTAAATTGCATCGCCAGGGGAGACGGAGACGAAGATGTGAATGGGTATGGGGATGGGGATGGGTATGGGGATGCAGGGAGAGCTTGCTGGCATTCGAGTTGTGCAATTTAAACAGTTTAATAATTTACTTTGGAAATATAAACTGAGCCCCGCCACTGTTATTGTTACAGTTTGGGGCCCTGGACATGGGCTGCCGCCCTTCAAACTTGACACATTCAATCACTGTCAGGCACAGCCAGGGATTGACATGAATCTGGCTGGGGGTTGGGATTTCCTGGGAGCAATCCATACGTAACCGCCATTTGGATATATGTATTTTAATATTGCGCAAAATTTGTTTTGCTCTGCAGGTGACATGGCTGAAGGTTGACAAGGGCAAGTTCTTCGAGTTCATAAATGGACGGAATCCGCCATTCCGCAACTCCACCATCGAGGGAGCCGAAATTGACGTAAGTACATGGTTTGGCGTCCCTGCGCAAAGTGCTCTGGGCCGTGCTCACTTATTTACTCAATCATCATTATCGCTGTCAGTCCGCAGTCGGACCTCGGTAATTGTCCTCGAATTAAGCATTGAAGAATGGTCTAGTAAATCGCAGCTAATTGATAGACACTTAAGTACCCCACATCTAAGCGCATCTAAGAGCACGAATGTGGACGAATCAATTGATTTGCTAATGAACTTTTTCTGTCTGCCACTTTAATCCGCTCGTTTCCTCTATGCTCCCCTCTCATTTACAGTGGGACAACTCTAACGAGCAGCAGGTGACCCTCAAGGATGTGCAGTTCGATCTCTCCGGGCAGTTCTACTGCGAAGTCTCCACGGATACACCCATCTTCACCAAGGCCAGCGCCGACGAGCTCATGAGCGTGTTCTGTGCGTAACAATTTTCGCCACCATATTCAAGAGTCCCACTCTAATTATTGTCTCCTTTCCCATCCATCTGCATCTACACCTCCATCTATCTGTCTATTTATCCACCTATCTATCATGCAGTGCCCCAGACGGGTCCGCCCACAATTAAGTTCCGCAAACGCACGCCCTTTGCGGTGGGCGAGAAACTTTTCGCACTGTGCAACACCACTCGCGGACGGCCTGCCCCGCACATCACGTGGCTAATCAATGGGAAAAAGGTGCGTATGCGTGATATTTGAAACTCACCTCTCGTCGCGCATGGAGGGACAGGGATAGGGATATCCAAAACAATTTGATTGCGTAAACGTTGCTCGCTTGCTTTCCCCGTAGCCGAAGTCAATTTGCAATGAGATTATTAGCGAGTATCACATGTTTGGGGGGGCCATGAAGGGTAGTTAGCCTTCTGGTTAATCAGTGGTATAATGCACTCAAAATTACCGCCAGGGGATGTGGCAGGCGGCAGTTGCACTGGCCATATCCATGGGAGCAGTGCATGCAGATTAACATCAGTTTAAGCCATTTTATAATTATGGCCTACACGAGCGGTCAGGGCAGCTTTCATTTTAATTACAAAAAGCCATAGCCAGATGTTGCTGTCCTCGCAGAAAAATAAAAAATATAAAAAAGAATATACGGCAAGCGAGCGAGCGAGAAAAGGAAATGAAATTTAAATAAATTTATTATGTCTGCCAGTGGCGGATGGAATATGGGAAAACTCTAAAATGAAATTTATTCATAAACGCGCCCCTGGGTCACAAACCAACACTGAGCACAGACCGCCACCCACCCTGCAAGGACCGAAAATGCAGCAGTGTGTGCGGCTGGGGGTCCTGGAGAGCAGATGTGGGACTGACCCGCTGTGCCATGATCCATATTTAATTTAAGCTGCACGCCAGAGGATGGTGTGGGTCGTGCAGAGGCCAGGAGTTTGACATTGAAGTGACTTTTGTGCAAAGCGTATTGTAGCAATTACAATGAACCGAGAGTACCCTTATCATGCCCCAACCCAACCCAAGCCCAGCCCTACTGAATTTCAACCCACGTATGTTATTTTGTGTGTGTGTTTTTTTTGGGCAGGTGGAGGAGAAGTACGTGCGCACTCATCATGTGTTCTCGTTCAACGGCAAGCACCCGCGACGCACGCAGCAGCAGCAACAGACACAGCTGAGTCAGCAGCAGCTGCAGCAGCAGTACTACCAGCACCAGTACTACAACCAATACCACCAGCAGTACCACATCCCAATGGGCCAATTCATGGACCGCTATGACAAGAGCCTCCGTTGGCCGGCAGGCGCACGTGCGGGTGAGTACCAGGCGAGAGAGAAAGAGGGTGGAGGAGTGACCGACAATGGTAATCACTTTTTTTTTTGGGCTGCGCCGCTGATGTGACATTTCTGTGTGTCGTTATTTGAGTTCCAAATTGTGGAGAATGGGGAAAACGGACAGACAGAGTCATCAGAAACCGAAAACTGCTGCAGCATTTACGTTAATTAGATTGTTTGATCACTGATGGCCTGCTCTTTGTCCACTCTTTTTCGCTGCAGATGAATTTCCGCACTTTGCCGCACACCATCACGAGGGCCACCATCATGGCGGCGGCGGTGCTGGCGGTGGCAGCAGCATATACAACAATCCGTTTGGCTCGCTGGCCAACTACCATGACGTGGGCGAGTTCCATGAGATACATCAGCGCAACTATGACATCAACAAGAAGAAACTCGAGCTGAAGAAGCAACAGCAGATGGAGCTGAAGAAGCACAGGTAAGTGTCGATGGGGTCCGGGCCGCCCATTAATCACGAAACCTGACCCTTAGCGCCATTACCTGGAGCGGAGACCGCTCTCTGAACCATATTTATGAGCTACACAAATTAAAAAGCTGCAACTTTCAGCCACGAGCCAAGCTTAGCCCCCGCGTTTCACAGACTTCCTGGAAGGACTAGGTACATAGGAATGTGAAAAGTTTCCCTCTTCTATGATGCAGGAGGTTGCTAGGCAAGCTGCTCAGTGCCAGTGCCAGTGCCAGTGCCCAGCGCAAACTTTTCATATTCTTATCAATTTCCCCAGGTTGCGTGTGTGGCGTGTTTATTAAAGTTTTCTTATCTATGGTCTGAAAGGATTTTGCCCCGCTAAGGCCAACGGCTGTTGCCACATTGTTGGCGCTTGTTGGAGCTTGTGGTTGGTTGGTTTGTCTGACTTCTTCGTCTTCTTTTGCTTTTTGTTGTATAGCGCATAAATCAATTCTGTGGCACGGCTCCCCGCATTGTTACGTTCCCCCCTTCCACGGCTGCCATGGCGCTGGGTATTCGAAATCTTTACGTGGCGCGATTGGATGTGAAACGTAAATGAACGCAATAAATTATTTACGTTCACCTGTGATATTAAAAATCAAGCACTGAAACTTTTCCAATATAACAACTTTTGGGCTGCAAGTCTGTATGGGCGGGGGCGGTGAAGGTGTTGGTGTTGGTGAGTGGGTGTGGTGTGGTGTCAGTTTAATGAAAGCCACAAGTCGCTGCGAGTTTCCACGAAGTGGCTGCCTGCGTCTTTGAAGTTGCCTGGTGTATGGTAGTGCCTGATATTACACATACGCCATACGTGGCACGTGGCACGTAGCACGTCCCACACTTTTGGGATATGGTGTGTGTGGGGAGGTTCACAAAAATACGATGTTCATGGCCCATATTGCAGCCAGCCTTGGCTCTCTGTGGGACAATTCCGGCGACTGGTCGGTCTTCCATTCCCTGACAGATGATGGACACTGTACATGTCAAGGCCCCTGCTGGTAATTGGTAAATGAATTTGGCATTTAAGGACTGCCTGCTTTAGCTTTGCCCTTGCCTTTGCATTTGCATAAGCTAAAAAGTTTGGTATTCCGCCTCTGCTTCAGCCTCCGCCTCCGTCACCGCCTACGCCATAGAATTCCCAGTTTATGGCCGTAGAAAGTTCGAGCTTCGCATGTGTGTGTGGGTGGAGAGCGCGGAATAAACCCACTTGGTTAATTTGCCATAAAGTAAAAACCATAATTTACACCCGTTCCATTTCCTTGCCGGGTAATCAGCAAACGCTAATTGCATTTGCCGTAAGCCGAAAGCGAGGCAGCTCCGCCAAATGCACGAGCCAAATGCAAAACTATTTTATATATAATTTCCCCACAACTCATAGTGCCACACTCGCACACGTAAACCGGCGTACGAGGGGTGGCTGGGGATCTGAAGAACTAATTTCGCTGAAAAGCAAATGGCAATATGATATAAATTATATGCAAAGTGCAGAGGGAATATCGCAGAAGATGTGTACTACACAGGAAGAATTTGAGCCCTGTGCAATAAATTAGATTAAATCGTTAACCTGCTGCAGAACCCATTCTTTTTTAAGCCAGACACACAGACAGACACCTGTAGACGGCTTCGGTTATGGGTTTATGTGGGCGTGATTTCACACTCGCCCTTAACTGCAAACTGGAACTGGAAGGTGGGAAACTGTTGTGCCATAAAAGCATGTAAAAAGCGTTGCATATTTATGCAGCAGTCTGGCGTAAACTCAGCAAAAATGGATACCCATAAAGTGCATAAGCAATAAAAAAAAACTGCACAAAAACAAGAAACAAAGAAATCATTTTGGATATCGCCGAAGTCTTAGGTACCCTGCCAGATCCAGTGTTTCAACGGGAGTTTTGCAATGTTATAGTGTTTCAATCTGGATGGACTAAACTTTGATACGGACAGGACATTGTTATCCCTTCCAGTTGGACTTAGGCCATATGCTTCCAGCATTGCAAACACCTACACCAAATGAGGCATACCCTCTGGAATGTACAACAAATAAGGCAACAGAAAAAGCAACAATTACAAGGACGAACAGCAGAAACAAAAGGGGCGGCGGCAGTGGCAGTAACACTAACAGGCAGGGCAGCGTTTATGTGCATGCCAATGCCAATGTGCATAAATTCCCTAGCATGTGTGTGTGTGTCTGTGTGCTTATTCATGGGTGAAAGTGTGGGTGCATGGCTTGGGCTGCTCGGCCATCCAGGCGTAGAATAAACTGCGCTGTTTATTAAGTTTATGCCTTATGCGCCGCTCGAACGTGGGTGGGTGGCTGATTGTCGCCTCGTGCTGTGCGCCTCACTGGTGACTGGTGGAGGGAGAATGGCGAAAATATTCATGTTATTTTATGCAAATGCAATGCTAATGTCAAGCCCACCGCCAGACAAGAGCCACGCCCTGGGTCAGGAACTGCTCCGCCTCCGCCTAGAGGCCTTGCAGGATTTATTGCCTGCAATGGGCAACAGCATAAAATATTGAGTATACGCCGTGTGGCGTGTGTCGTGTGCCTGCTCGTGTGTGTGGGTGTGCGATATAAGCCATGCAAAGTAATTAACCGCTTAACGTGATTAGTGACGACAAACAGGCATCGTCGAGTGCCACTCAAAAGCCGGAACATCAAAATGCTTTCATACTCTCATTGCCGCATTATGAAGCACAATATTCGCACAACAATTCGTTATTGTTGGTTGGCTTTCGCTCTCTCTCGCTCGCCTCTTTTCTCTGGAGCAGCTTGAAATGACTTTAAGAGTGCAACATGAAAAGCACGAAAGACAAAAGAAGAGCTACAGCCATGAGGCAGCAGGGCAACAAAAGCAAAAGCAACAGCAACAGCAGACGTTCCATGGTTATAAAAGGCATAACACGTAGCTTTGGATGAACACTTGCCGAGGGAATGAACAACGAGCAGCAGCAGCAGCAGCAGCAGATACAGGAATAGGTACCATAGGATACCGAGCGCAGACCAGACCTGGGCAAGGACATGGGCCAGGGAATGGCTCGTTCCGTGCAGTCAAAAAGTAGTTTACACGTTGTTGCACAATTTATGTTTGTGCAACACGTAAGGCCTTTTGTGGCAGGCTCAGCCAGAGCAAAATTCAAGCTAAGCGTTGTGCTGTGAAGGTCTGAAGGTCTCTGTTTCTACTTCTGCCTTTGATTCTGTGGAAGGGAAGTGTCGGTGTCTAGCTGCAACTTGGCTGACTACTGCCTTTTATTCCGGCCGTTTGGCTGCCCCTTACACACTTCCTTTGTGCCGTCAGTCCCCCGAGCAGGTAGCCCCCACACACGAGATCCGAAAAGCAATCCAAAAAGCCAGCAAACGGCAAGCTAACTCGGCCGCAGGAAACTCCCCTTAAATAGGTGCTGTGGAATGTTTCTGCTGCTCCCTCAATGTCTGTTTAAATGGAGGTTAAGCAGTCCCCGTGGAGTAGTGCAGTGGAGCTGCGCCACTCGTAGATTGCACTTTGTTCATAATGAAATTCCTATTAAAAGTAAATTTCTAAATTATTTTGAGAGATGTCTGGGAAAGTACTTAAACAGCAACTGTTCCGGTGAAGGACTTCTGCACTTTCGCCAACAATTCTCAGGCTTCCTCTGCTCGACGAAATTCCCAAGCACAAACAAAGGCAGTGCCAGAGCCAGAGTCAGGGCGCCCCTAAATGCAGCTTGTAATTTTCATTTAATTTTCAGTGTGGGTTTCCTTTCCTTGCCATCTCCTCTCCTTTCTCTTTCTCTTTCCTTTTCCATCCCAGACCAAATTGCCACTGACTTGACCCTCAAAAGGGCGGCCATTAAATGTCGCGACTGGTGTATTTGAAGCGCCAGAAATTGGCTGGCCGTGTGGCTGGGGCGGTAATTAGCTACTTTTCTAGCCCTGATCGCGTGTGTGGCGGTAATCCTTTAAGGCGGGTCAACGGTGGCCAACGTTGACGTGCCATAAACCGCGGCAATAATGGAGCCGGGTTCTGGGGCTCTAAAACTGGACAAGGCCAGCAGCTCGTACTCGGACTCGGACTCGAACTCGGACACTGGGCCACTCGGATAAGGGACCAGTCACTTAAATTTACGGCAACTTTTAAACGCGTCCAATGCCAATGCGCTTTTAGTTTTAATTGCAAGCTGTGGGCGGAGTCGGAGTCGGAGCGGAGCGGAATGTCTGGGTAAGTGGCTCGTCGAATGTGGCTACAAGACGTCGAAATGGCGTGCCCCATTAATCTCAACGAGAACAGCAACAAGACCAGCCACAAGAACAACAAGCGCACACATTAAAATTAAATTTCTATTTTATAACGAAGGGGGTTGGAGGGTACACTCCACAATTTGGCTAATTTGTTAATAAGGCTACACTTCGACCAACTATTTGACCTTGTTCACAGGCAAGTAAGTGGCCTGTGGCGTGGCCGCCGCGGGTGGGATGTAGGATGCGGAGGGAGCCTCCAGTTCAGCGCCAATGTTCGACACACTGCCAGTCGAGGCGACATTGATGCTGGAGGCACGACGCTCATCCACCAGCTGCACTTGCTGTTGCTGTTGCTGCTGTTGTTGTTGCTGTTGTTGTTGCTGTTGGAACTGCTGCTGGCGCTTGGAGGTGAAGTCCAGCACTGGGGCAACGCCTCCATTGTGAGAGGCGGAGGAGCCACCCAGGCGCTCGTACTCCTGCTGGATGGTACGCTGGGCATTCAGCGCGTCCTCCGGCGTGCGGTACTTGACAAAGTGCACCTCGGGCTTGCTGGCCCTCACGTGGTTCAGGTTCTGCAGCTGGTTGGCCAGGCTGGAGAGGTCACCCTGCTTGGTCAGCACATAGATGGCGGTCTGCTGCTCGGCAGCCTGCTTGGCCAGAGTCAGGGCGGCGTTCTCCAGGCCCTTGTTCTCGGGCGCACGGATGAAGACCACGCGCAGGTTCTTCTTCAGCGAAGCGGCCAGGTCACTGACGCTCGTGTTGTCCTCAAAGTCGGCCTCTGGGGCGGTGTAGGTGAAGAACTCCTTGTTGAAATCGGTGTTGACGGGGGCGTAGTCATTCGAGTAGCCCGCAGAGGAGCCAAGCGATCCGGCAGACAGAGAGCCGCCAGAAATAGAACCTCCCGAAAGGGAGCCACTGGAACCACCAGAAAATGAACCACCAGAGTTTGAACCGCCAGACAGAGAGCCGCTAGACGCGCCACCCAGGCCGGCTCCGTAGTTGTAGCCACCCACATCGGCACGCACTGCCACTGCTGCCAAGAAGGTCAGAACCTGGCAAAGAAATCCAATCGAATGTATAATCCAAATGCCTGCTGCGACCCAACTCAATTTCACTTACGATTAATCCACGCATCTTCTTCGGCTTTCGCTAAACTCTTTTTCGCTGCTAAGGGCTGTGCTGTCAACACGTTGGTGGGCACGCCTCGAGGTGTGAACGGGTAATGTTGTGGCCCCTCCGTCCGATGGGCGTTTTTATAGCCCGGCCCAAAGCGAGGCCAAGAAGAGATGCGGCTATGCCCGTTGCCGTTGTCTTGGTTCGATAATTCGCCTCAGCCGTGAACCGCAAACCGTTCCGTTGCAAGTGACGCAAAACGTAAAACGGACCAACTGTATCCGCCAGCGAATTGGTTTGCATAAATTGAAAGCGTATTGCCAATTTCGCTGAATGAAATGCAAATGCAAAGTGGAAATGGAGCTGGAGCTGGACATCGATAGGCCAAACATATCAGCGTTCAAATGGAGCAATGCCAAACGATTTGCATAGCTGGCAGTTTTGTGGATACGTAATTAATTAATTACAAGCATTACAGCAATGAAGAAACAGCAGAAAAAGACCCCAATAGAAAAACAAAACAAAAATAAATAAATCAATTACAATGTCAACGGCACAGCACAGCCCATCCCCATCCATCCATCCAACCAATCAGATATAATTCTGGGAATGATTTGCAAAATTCAAAATTAATTAATGCTAACACTGCACGATGGCAGTGGCAACTGGCCACAGTGGACCACTAATCATGGTCCCATCGACCAGCTGCTCGACTGGCTGTCCACTGTACCAAATCTGCATATGGGTGACTGTTTGAATCTATTTCGTAAAAGCAACAGATACAATACACATGTGGGCACAAAAAGACCTATTTATGCAAATTAGCTAGCGTCGCTTGCGGCATTTATAGTTTAGGGTTTCGTTTTTTTTTTTTTTGTTGTTGTGTGTTTGTTGTTTGGCTTGTTGTCTGCATATTATTGAAGCATTTATGATAACATTTATTGTGGCATTTGATATATGACTGATTTATTCCATTGATTGCACCATTTGATGTGTCCGAGCGCGACAGAACCTGTCTTCCTGTTCTTTTTTGTTTGTTTTTTGATTAGCGGGGTTAGGTATTCTTTTTTGTTTGTTTTTATAGTCCCACTAAGGACGATCCATTCGACTTAAAATTGGGAAATTATGACATCCGAAAATGGAAATTTCTAATTCAAATTTTAATTTTATAAACGAAGCGGATTTTGATGCAGATCAGTAACATAAATCTTTCGTGTCCAAGAGTGACTTCAAACAGCAAATCTACATGAAGCTTATATACATTTTACATGTTACATTTTACACGCTACACTGCCGATCTACGGGGGCGCCACCCGTCTATGTATTAAGTCGCAGTAGAATAAGTATAAAGTGAATGTCAAACTGTCAAGAGAAGCAGTGGATAATATGGATATATGCCCAGCGGCATTGAACTTAAACTGTGACACGGTTCGTTCTGTCTGTTTGACAGAAAGCGCTGCCAATAGAAATGCAATCAAGTTAATTACGGAAATATGCATTTTTCAAGTCAAACATGAACATGCAACTCAACTCTCTGTGATTGACGATAAATGGCCAATTACGGCAATTACCCGGCTCAACGGCCCTGCGGGTGCAACTTCAATGTCTGCCTGTCGCGTGCAACATGTGCAAAGAGAGTACGGAGAGCGCCAGAGAGTAAGTGTGGGAATACCAAAATATATATTTTGCTATAATTTGATTTAAACTTAATTTATCGAATTGTTGCTCCTAATTGCTGGTTGGTTGGGTTAAATGATGGAATTCTCGCATAACAAATACCATTTTCCGTTTGACCTCACAGTCTACCTCTAATTAGTTGCATGCCCCATCTGAAAATGGTGGGAGTGACACGCATGCAATTAATACACTTCTAAATGAGGTTCGCCAAGGGCAACACACAAACAGAACAACTGACGCACACGCGAAAAGTCCGATTCAAATGCATTTACATCACAATACCAAACAACTCGCGTCGTATCTCATGTCTCATGTCTCTCTCTCTCTCTCACTAACTCTGACATTTTTGGACTTGTATATACGAGTACCTGCCGCCATGGCAGGAAGCGTATCGTAGCGTGAAGGCATGGCCAGGGGCTGTGGCACTTTATAGTGCATAAATTATTCAATGGGCCGCATGCCACAGCGAGTCAGAGACGACAAAAGGAGCTTCGCTGTCAGTTATAATTTCACACGCGTTGCCGCTGTCAGTGGATGTTGTTTTCTTTGTTGCGGCTCTGTTGGTGTTTGTGCCCGTCTAACCCAGTTTTAAAGCCATTTCGTGGCATACTTTTGTGCGCGCGCATCCGATCCCAAAGTTAGGTCGACACTGACTTTGGCCTGGTTCCCGTACGCGTACCCGTACCCTTACCAGTTCCCGTTTCCGATGACGAAACATTTTACAGCCCTGAATAGTTAATACAAATTAGCTGGCCCCAGGCAATTACTTTCCAGCGAAATTTGCATGCATTGTGCCATGTAATTTAGCAAAGAAGGCGAGAGAGAGATGAGGCAGGGTTCTGCTCTTTGCCCCCCGGTCTAAGCTTTGATTTTGGCCAACAGTTTTGGGCTTTTGCAAAGTTAACCTAGCAAAAAGTTAAACTGGTAATCTGTGTGTCTGGTTGGGTTCCTGCTGCTGCTGCTTCTGGTGCTTCTTCTGCTCTGTTTTTGCTGTTGTTTCAAGTTGGAGCTGCCAAGTTGCGGTTCGCCCCAAGTTCCGGTTTCCGATTCCAAGACCTCTTTCTGTGCATACCCGTATACGAAATTCATGGTCCTGCTTGCAGCCTTTGCGCCCACCTAAAATGCTTTGCTTGTTCCTGCTAAGTGGACCGATGGAGCACAGAACAGAATGCTCTGTCCTCTGTTCAAGTATTGGAAATATTCCGGGCTCTTCCCACTCTCCGCCCTGTCCATCATAAATAGCTAAAAGGTTTTGCTGCCTTCGGCTCGTTTGCTTGCCTTTAAAAACTAAATTAAGCTGCGGTTTCTGTGGCCAAGAGACACATAAATATGCCACTCCAGAGAGAGAGAGAGAGAGAGCAGCAGCAGCCCCAACGAATCTACATGACTTATCAATTAATTAAGCGAATTTCTCAAATTATCACCCTGGGCCTGGCCGCCCCAAAGGCTGTTTTGCATGTCAGTGGAGAGTTAAGACATTTGGCAGTTTCTTTTCCTTAGTGGAGTGGAATTTAAAGTGTCATGCCAGACAGCAGTTTCATAACTTGGGAACACACTTGCGTATATGTATTCCACGACTGTACAAGTATGTACACCGGGGGCCGCATTTCCGTCTGATTTGAATTGCTTGGCAAGTTTGTTATGTTTTCGAACTTGAGCTTCCTGCCACGGGTGTGCTGATGCTGTTGTTTCTTGCTCCTCGCTGCCTCGTCCTGCACCGTCCTGTCGCTCCCTTGCCGTTGTTGTCGCTACCGGTTCTAGCTGGCTCTTCCTGCGAAAAGTGCGCTGCATAAGGAATTTTATTAAGACAACTGTAGCAACAGCAGCAGCAGCAGCAGCAGGAGCATCAGCAGCAACATCAACAGTAACAAGAGCTCTGCGTTGATGATGCTGGTGCTGGGGCTGCAGCTGGTGCCTCTGTCTCGGATCCTGCTGTCATCAGCCACCGTCGAAGAGCCAGAGCTGTCGAAGGCTTATGCGGATGATGTGCATTTGCTTTGAGTTTTGCCCAGCATTTGTTTGCTCCCTTAGTTTAACTGGCTTACTGTTGCCTCGAGCTGTCGGTAACTCCGTTCCCAGCTACAGTTACCAAGCAACCGGCTATCTCTTCGTTATTATTGGAACTCGTACTGTTGCTGTTGTTTAAGTTTTTCCCCAAGCTGCTGCTCCTGCTCCTCCTGCTGTTTACTTTTCGTGCGTGCCAGAGTTTGCAATGAATACCCTGTAAGGAAGCCAAGGCATTCGGGGCCTGTAAGCCACATTGGCAACTCTTAACAGCAATTCAAATCCTATTTTATTCGAAAACCTTAAGGAATGCATAATGGCAATCGATTTTTGTGTGCTCTTTATGATTATGATTATGCGATGGGGGGGGGTATTCTCCATTTTGCTGGCAGCGCATCCATGTGCCGTCATATGCCCAACTCCCAACTCCTCTCTGGTTACCAAGTGCTCTCCGAGCAGCACAGGAAGTACAAACACACACACACACACACACATTGCCAAAAGAAGCAAAGACTCGCACACAAAAGCAACTTTTTGCTGACACCTTGCTTTATCTCCAGGACTCCTTGCGGCATCCGTTGCCTTAGTTCATTCCGCTTTTAGTTCTCCCCCAACCGCACTCCCGCTGCTGATGCTGATGCTGCTGCTGCTGCACTTTAAGCCAAATAATATTTAAATATAATTTTGCTAAAATTCTATGCCATTTACTTTCCAATTTGCATAAGCAGGCAAGTCTGACACAGAGACAGAGGCAGAGACAGAACCATAGCCATAGCTAGAGCCAGAGCCAGACATAATGCTACAGAGAGGAAGGAGCGGAAGACCAGACTGAGTTGATATGCAAATGAAATAATTGTTTAAATGAGACGGAAGTAAGCGCCTTGCTCCTGCCCTGCAAATGGCATTCGAAACGAGTTTGCCACAAAATCGAATGCTGTGTGCTGTGATGGGCCGTAAAGTGGGGTTCGGGCCATAAACTAACACAGCTGACAATTGGTTTGCCAGCACATTCGATGCATTAAACTTTATGGCATTCACATTATTTGCTCAAGTGTCTGGGCACGCACGGCGCATGGGGCATGGGGCACGGGGCCGCCTTGTGTATGTGTGTGTGTACGTGTGTGGGCGACTGTGAGTTTGCTCAGGTAATTTCGCTGCCATTTTGCATTTGTAATAAAGCAACATGTCGCCACACATACACATCGTCAGAGCCTCTGTGGCAGCCTAAGCCCAGCGATGCCCAAGGTAATTACAGGGAAGCAGATCGGGCTCTCTCTCCCCAGCCCAGCCAGCGGAGCTGAGTTCATTTGTATGCCGTTCAGGCATCTCTTATCAAATATGAGGCAAAGTCGTAAAAGCTAATTAGAGCTGGAATGTCTGTGTGGGGTTGGGCAAAGCAGAAGCTGCTGCCGCCTGAATAATGCAAACTAATCGGCCAGTAATGCAGGAGAACCATTAGTAAGCACGCCCAGTCAGCGGTAAAAGTTTAATTCAAATGATCAATAACACCACACACACACACACACACACACACACACACACACACACACACACACACACACAATCCATGGCAACTTCTGTGAACTGGAGAATACGATTTGATTATCAATTATTTTCGGGCGGGCTCTGCTGGAAATTATGACAGCTCGCATCTTCATTCGACTGGGATTCTTTGCGCAGATGTGCGTGCCTCGAATTTGGGCTTCCACATGCCTCTTATTTTGCGTTTTCACGTTGCCGCACATCAATCATAAAATGCAAATATTTACGATTTTATTTGTGTGCAAATTGCCGGCCCCCACGCCCATTAAACCCAGGCTCTAACTCTCAACACTCAATCGAATCCCTCCTTTTTTATTGCAGGAACAGCAGCAGCCGCAAGTATCGGCGGCACATCAACGAGAACGCCCTCGGCATCATCCGGAGCACCCTGAACAGCGGTGGCTTTGGCCCCCAGGCGCCCAACATTGCCAAAGAGCTGGGCATACCCTCGAATTCGGGGCCCATGAATCAGCTGGCGGCCGGCTACCAGCGTCCGCTCTCCCATCCGGGCGGCGGCAGTGGCGTGGCAGCAGCCGCAGCGGCTGTCACAGCAGCCCAGCAGGAGAAGGGCATGTTCAGCATCAGTCAACTGAACCTGGAGCTCACCGACGAGCATGTGGGCAGCAATGGGCGCATGGAGATCACCTGCCTGTCGACGATACCGGCGACAGTGGGCCAGGGCGAACAGTATGCCGATTACAAAACGTATTCCGTGAAAGGTGAGTGGGGGCCGCAACGCAAACGGCAACGCAATGCGGCGTATGCGTGATTCGCATGAATTGTGCGTGTGTGTGCACACTCGGTTTATTTATTCTGTAATGTAATGCTATGCAAGCACAATATTTGCTTTGGGCCACACTCTCGCAAAATGACGAGCCGTGAGCTCATCAAAAAATTCTCCTTTTTCACTCGGGGGAGGCACGCGCGACAAAATTATCAAATGTAGGAGAGAATCACGGATGGAATTTCACAAAATAAATTAGCATGATAATGGGATGTTATGTGCATGGATGGGGTGTGTGTGTTGGGGGTACAGTATATGTGTATGCCTATTGTTATTTCTCGGGCTGTCAGAATTTCTCCCGCAGCCGCCAAGAAATGTATAAACAAAAGTCAACGTTGTCCCTGTCATTTCGTCTTCCTGGCAGATTTGAAATGTTGTCCTTATTTGCATTGGAGCCTGCCGCGCTGCTTTTGGCCGGGTTCATGTCCTGTCTCTGGCGTAAGTCTACACCGAGAAAAAAGGGAGAACCATCGTGGTGTTCCACTGTATATTAAAATGCGCCAAGTACATGATAGTAAGACTCTCCGAGTATTTTCTCCGAGTGCACTGAATGTTCGTTTAATTTCGACTTACCCCCACACCTAGGGAGACGGGGCACGGCACAAACAAAGGTTAATTTATATATTTGCCGACAGTGTTTGCCTACAAGCCGGTTGTTAACACTTGCTTCCAGCCAAGTCGTTGACTCGACTTGGCCAGTGTTGTAAATTGTCCCGAATTGTACGAAATAATTTACACATTACAGGGCCCATGACTCACAGCGGTCGTTGGTCGTTGGTTTGCTTGTCGTGATCCCAGGCGTGGTCTAGCCGGAGGCAACTCCTTTGTCTTTCGACCTCTTTGCCAACCCAAGTGGCTGCCAAACTGTCACTTGAACCAAGGGGCGTATGCGTGTTATTTATGTTGCGTGAAGTGCGTCATTTGTTTCGGGCACTTCGCAGCCGAGAATGCTCCTCCACACTGTAATTGTTTCTTATGTTGCCCTAAGGGGCTGCCATCAGTTAGCTGCTGGTCGCCTTGTTTATGCCAAAACTTTTCAGCGGCTGATCGGCGACCTTTGCTGTGGTGTCCTGCTAGTCACTTTCAAGGGCTTTTCACTGATTTAAATTATTCAGCTTACAAGGCTGCTCTCCAAATTGATTTCCCTTCTATTTACGGTTTGGGCAATCATCCTGTCAGTCCGGATATACTCATTCTCCCTGCCGTAATGGCTTTTAGTCTGTTCAATTAATTTTGCCTGCCAACCTTGACCGGCAGCTCCAGCTAGCCAGCAGACCAGCAAGGACCCTGGCATTTCTTTTCACCTGATCCCCGCATTGTTTATCACATTCTAAAGCCCCAGAGTATGCGAGTATATATATATTATATTTATCTTCTTTTTTTCCGGATTCCTGCAGTTGAGGTTGAGCGACAATTGGCCTCCTCCACGTCGACGGCAGTGCCCAGCATCGGAATGGCGGCACTGGGCAACGGTAATGGACACGGGAACGAGACATCGGCTGGGTCCGTAATGCCACATCTGTGGTCTCTGGCGCAGATTCTGCTACTCATGCTCCTGCCCCTGAGCTACTAGGAGTGCATGTGCAGCAGAAGCAGCTGGCGAGAAGCAGACCACCGACATACTAAGGCATAGTTACGCCAAAACAAAGGACACCCACATCAACATCATCATCATCATCGTCGTCGTCGTCGTCAGCATCAAGGACGAAGCAGCAGCAGAACTAAGTTGGGTTTTTATAAATTGTACACAAAAATTTTTAATTTATTTCCATGTGCATGAGCTCGATTGAGCAGGAAAATTAGCACAGCACAAAGAAATTAAAACAAACAAGGGGGGACACGATGCAGAGCGAGTGGATTTAGTGGAGAATTTGTACAATTTTTGTGCTGCTCTCCTTGGCAGAGAATTTAAATAGTTTACTTGTAGATAACTTGAAATTGCCGAGGGGCAAAGTGTGTTGATTTCCCCCCCCGTGTTTTTTTTTTTGTGTGGCACCAATGCCAAAGAGAAATGTTTGTAATTAAGTTGCAGTCGGACTGTTGGACTGGATACCACGGTACCCATTCCCATTCCATTGCAGCCGACGCCGACGGGCATTTTTTGTAGCGCAAAGAAATTTTTGTATAGCTAATTGAACATAAGTTTTGTGGAGAAGCTCGACCATCGGGCGGCCGGCTAATCCAACTGAGCGAAATAAAGTTTTTGTGCTCTTCAAGGTCAGTGCACAGTGGGCGTGGCATTCCACCCAGTGATTTTTCATCGCCGGCCTTGTCAGAAGTTTGCGCGAATGCCGCCCCCTGATGCCTGATAAATCCCCAACCAAGCAAACGAATAACGATTGAAGCAAAGTTTTTTAGGCGTTTCCAAGCTAGTTAGTCGCTACGAAGCTTGTACCTAAAATGCATCGCATCATCCAAATGCAGCATCCAAGCAAACAGATGAACAGATCCCCTCCCCCCCCCGAGGTACACAAACAATTTAGCGAAATGAAAGTTATTTTTGATGGTGTTTGTAGCGCATCGGCTAGTCAAGGATGTGGATGTGGATGTGGATGTGCCCACTGAGGGTTAGGCTAAGATTAAGGCAAATTGAATTTAAGCGCCAGCCACATTCCGCTAAATACGAGTACGAGTACCCGGACCCCGTGCCCTGTACCCCCCCAGAAAACACAAAGGAAATTAAACGTTTAAATGTAAAATAATTAGACAGTTAAACCAAGAAGCTTACAAAAACAATCAGTGTTGAAAACATTTTGAGAAAACCAAAACAAAAACAAAAAAACCAAACGAAACGAAACAAAGAACACGAGACACAAGAAAATGGCTTCGCAATGGGCGCGTCTGTGGCACGTGGTGAACCCCCGGAAAGGGTCAACTCCAAATGGGTTGGACCGGCTGGGCAAATGAGTTTGCCCGCGGCAGAACCCGAACCAGATCCAGACCCAGGCCCCGCCGCAACACATTACGACGCTTATTTATTTACGAGTACATTCATTTCGTCCCTTATTCTCGTTTCGTTGTGTGTGTATAAATGGTTATCGTTGCAATGGATCGTTTAGAGAGTAGTTAGGAAAATATTTGCCATTGCGATTAATTGTGTTTTGTAATTGTTTTCGTTTTAGGTTTTGTTTTTTTTTGTTGTTGGATCCTAGGCGTTCGTACTTGAGAGCAAGTGCGTATGCATTACGTGTATGTATGGATGTATATTTAGGAGAACCTTTTTCAAACGCGCTTTAAGTGTCTACGTATATTTGCTAGAGAACAATTTTAAACACATAAAAGAACATACGAGTAGCATACCAATGTAACTATGTAAAGCAAGAAGATAGCAACCGGTAGCAGAAACGGTAAACAAACAAACAAAAAAACAACACGGCAAAGTAAATATATGTAAAGCAATTAGCGGACTAGTCTATACCATACATACACATACCATATACCATATACCTTATACTATATACGTGTACGTACATATACAATGCATATACCCTACCCATGCATGAGCATCTGTTTTGTGTGTATGTGTGTAATTAGGCTTCTATTTTTGACTTCAAATCGACGGCGAAACGCAACCAAAACCCAAAATAATATTAGTGTATAGAATTTAGCCTGCAGAAGTTATCCTAAGCGAAATCAGCTAAACCAACCGATTGACAATTACCAGTTAAACAATTGCAAACAAACAAAAAAACGAAAGCAAACAAAAACACTTTTCCCAGTTGAAACACTTTCCAAACGGTTGTTCAGAGTGATCGGACCTGCAGTAGATCCAATACGAATGCGATTACGATTACGAGTAGTTTCACGTCCATTGGTGGCGGCTGAGGAAGTGCAGCAACCGGATATTAGCTTGAACGAACTACAACAATTTTTTATAAATGAAAATATACTATAGTTATGACAAAGGTAACGGTAACGGTAACATCAAGTAAAATAATATTAAACAAAAAAAAAAAAAAACAAACAAAACAAAGTTCATATTACATATAAAAAATATGGCTAAAATGTCTTATGCAGGTATTGACGTCTTCCTATGCTACGCTGTCTATTATTAACTGAACAAATGAATTACATTTATAAATTATACATTATGAATAGAGGTATGCATACAAAGTTTACTGTATGTGAAGGAAAAAAAAAACCAATGAAAACCAAAAAAAAAACAAATAAAATATTAACACTTATACACAAAAAAATGATAATGCTTTAAGATCAAATAATAAGTTATTTCTATTAAGTTTAAAACTATCACTGATTTTCCATCATCAAGACTATTCAATTCTGGATATTTTCGCTTGATTTATGTAAGATTATCATGGGAACTGGTTCCCTGTTTGTTATGCGTTTGAGACTCACTCGTAAATGTTTCCCACCAATCTATAAACAAGTGCAAACACATCTTAACTCTCAGCACCTCATCGCATCGACACATACATATACAGTTTGCACCTCCCAGCACCCATTATCACTCCCTCCCTACTCAGCACTCCCTCTTTCCACCTGCATATATATATGTATCTATGTGTATCTGTCTGTTAAGAATGCACATTGTGCGTTGTCCATCAGTCAGTCATCTCAGTCCGTTGTCCCAACAAATAGCTGCATGAATATTCATAATTGGTAATGGGCCAGCTCTCAGCCATGTGTCTGCTAATTATTGTATGTGCCATGCAGGCACTCTCTATCCAGCATACTCGTGTAAATGTGTATTTATGTAATGGAAAACAAAAGCATTCATGTAAGTGTCAAGTGCAAAGGAAACACAAAAAATGATGATATTTATAAAGAGCAAATTAACGTACATTAAGTGTCGCAGCAATTCGTAAAACATATCATAAATGTTGTAACTTTTTCTCTATAACATGTGTCAGTTAACCAAGAGAGAGACAAGTGACATTTTTCATGACTAACATATGGTATTTGTCATTCAATTATCGTTTATCCATGAGGCCTCTCCTCCGGGAACATTAAATCAAGTTGGTGGCGATACTCTTAGCCAGATGAATGGATATGGATATCACCTTATACATATTTGTAAAGCTGTGTTTTGATAAGACAAAAATAGTATTATAATGCCATATCGTCAGACACAAAGACAGCAACTCGTTTCGTTTCGTTCGGGGTCTGTGCCTCGCAGTTACCTACATCATTTCACTCGCATCAAAATCTTCCAGTCACACATATCATTGCATATTGAACAAACGGCAAGAAATTATACAAAATATATATTTAAAATGTGTATGTATACAAGAAGGGAGGAGAAAAACCTCACAAAAGGTGTATAAAAAAAAAGATATATATATATATATTATTTATTTATACATATATGTATAAACATTTATAAATAAAGGCATAATTTATTAATTTTAAACACTTACACCACAAAAAGCTTTAACTTTTTCATTTCCATTGTTTGTCGAACATTAATATATTCCCATGCACATACACATGGACATACATGCATACAAACATATTCAATATTGTACGACTTTATTTGACTTAACCTCATTTGTATTGTATAAAATATTTTACTGTAAGAAAAGGTCTAGATAAATAGCATAATTCGAGGCTACCACGAGTGCGGATAACTGACGAAACAAAACAAACCAAAACCAATGAGGAAAAAAGACAAATTAAAATTGATAAAATAACGAACATATTTATTTATAGATACAGACATACCAGTACCAGTACTAGTACAAGTACCAGTACCATTACCAGTAATGTACCAGTACGAATAGCTGGCAACAGTTACAATTGTAATTGTTGGGGGGAAAAAAAGCAACCTATGCAGATTATACGCGATCGTAACCATGGAATATTTGTGTGTATAATTGTATTAATACTAATATTTAAATATTAACAAAAAATACAAGTGTACGTACATTGTCTATGCCGAGCAGAAGGGCAGGCGGATTGTGCTGTGTGGAGCACAAACTAAATGTAAAATTTAAATGTAAAAAATACCAAAAACACTAAGAAGAGAACAAGAAAAATAAATATAATTACAACTCAACCCAAATTATGGCGCCTACTGCTTGGCCAATCTACTATACTGAAGAGATATACAGCATATTAAATATACATACAGAAATACGAGTACGAATATTTGTGGTAAAAAGAGAACGAACTAAAAAATAAATGTTGAAAACAAGAGGCCAAGGGCGTTTCATTTAGGGACAGGCCCAGAACCCCTTAAAGCGGACCCGGCAAACAAAGACCCGAAAGCACACACACAAAAATGGCAAATGTGGAATAACACACAACGAAGTGGCAGCCACAGAGAGTGCCACAAAAATCGGGCTCAGAGTAGAGTAGGGCTCTTCCCTGGGGTTGATGGGGATGGAGATGCCAGGAGACAGGATTTTGCGGTGCGGGACCGCACAAGTGCGTTAAACAAACTTGCGTAACTTTCTGCTTGACGAATATCCTTTTAATCCTTTTAAATGTGCAGGGAAATTGAAGCAGCATGAGCTGGATGCCAGAGCCAGAGGCACAGCCCCAGCCACAGTCGGGGCGGGGCGGGACAAGATGGCTGTCCTGCGAAGTGCGTAAATAAAGGCGGGCCACGTAAGGACACATAAGGTCAAAAGTCCCAGCAAAATTACCAAAGGGGCGGGCGTAAATGTCCTGCAATAATCAACGAAAGGATAAACTACGAAATAAATGGCGAATCAAGGGTATCATGGCCGTAAAACACATCCGCCCAGGAGCCTGACACAGAGTCGGAATCGGCACTGAGAATGGGATTGGGGGCCACAAACAAAGCCCAAGACACAATGGTCGAGTATTTTCTTTTTCCTTCTTCTCTGTGATGCCTCTCTGCCTCGACTCGTTTGTATGCCCACAAAGGTGCAGCGGTCCTGGTTGGCTCATTACGGAATCAAAGCCCTGTACACACACACACACACACACACAACACTCACAGGTCGGGGCGGAAAGGACATCAGAGTGGGAGGTGAGTGTGGGTGTATGGGTGTGTGTCTGGTGACAGATGCGCGCTATCGATTGCGAATTCGTGTGGCAAGCAAGCTGAAAGTCAGGCTGGAATCAGGGGCAGGGCGGACAGCACAGCCAAACGACAACGTTGCATGGAAATGAGCAATTAACGCCTGGGCATCCAATCTGGATATTGACGAATCAACAGATTTTCTTTTGGCCCATCAAAAGGGTTCTCTGCTTCTGCTCCTGCTACTGCTACTGCTACTGCTCCTGTCTCTGGCTCTGCCTCTATCTTTGGCTGTGTCCTGTCTGTCTGTCTGTCTGTCTGTCTTGATTAAGGTATAAATATTAAATTAGCAGTGGATGTAGCCAGGATGTAGTAAGCTCTGCAGAGCGGCAGTAGTGGCAGCTGCTCTTCTTCTGCTCCTACTGCTGGTAGTGCTACTGCTACTGCTACTACTTTTGGCCTTTGCTTTTACTGTTAATGAGCCATGGCCATGGCAGGAGAGGCAGGGGGCAAACAGGATGTGGTTTGTTAAGAGGTTCGTTCGTTGCTTAATTATACATGGCAGCGCCTAAAAGTCGCCTAATTAATATGCAGCAGTCAGCCAGCGGAGAGTGGCACGGTTAATGAGCCGAGACTCTCAGCATGTGTGCCACGAAGTTTCGACAGTCAGTCAAGCGTCTGTTTGGCATGCACACATTGAGATGCCAGAAGGCAGAAAGCAGCAAGCAGAAGGCAGAAGGCAACCAGCCGGAGTACTCGTACTAGTAATGGCCCGAGGGCTGCTGACGATGATGCCCGAAAATAACTCAATTTTCATTGAGTGGCCCGGCTCGAGTGCTCGCGTACTCGCTCATGGGGAACACCAATAAACACTTTTTGCAACAAATCCAAACCATACCCCCGAAGCAGCAGCAGGCAACCACAGCAGCAGCGGCAGCGGCAGGCAACAGCGACAGGCGCAGTAAAACTTTTCGACAGCGACAACATGGCGTACAACTGCCAACTGCAAATGCATTTGGATGTGGCCACGGTTGGGGCTTTAGTTTGGGCTCCGGCTCCGGCTTTAGCTTCGGCTTGCAGGCCCACAGCTCATTGCCACCTGTACTTGTATGGGGGAGTGCTGTGGTTGCCAAATTAACAAAAGCAAGCTACTGCGACTCCAGAACTTCAGAAACTTTGTTGCCCGCAAAGGAGACTCGCTGCGAGCAGGGCCAAAAACAATAGCGATTGCGAAACTGTCTCGAGCACATTTCAATTTGCGCTTATTTCTAGCCCAACCCAACAAAGTTGCCGCCTGCATGCGGACAAATGTCAAAATATTTAGTTGTACAACAAAACTTTTGCCGCAGAACGCGAGCGCTTTCAGAAATTAAAAAGAAATATTGGTTAGCCGAAAAAGGGTGGGGTGGGGTGGGGGAATGGGCATGAGCAGCAGGAGAGGAACCAACAGCGGGCGAAACTTTTGCTCTGCGAATTAAATCGAAATAAAAATGTTTGTTGCCTGCTGCCTGCATAGGGAGCATTGTTTGCTTGCAATTTGCCTCTGTGCCACACTGCCATACTGCCACACTGCCACATTGCAATGGTGCTGTGTTGTTGGCTCACCGCAGCTGTCGGCTGTTGTGATTGAAAGCGGCACAATACCCGTGCTCCTGTTTGCAAACAGTTCCATAATACCAGCGATTTGTATTTGGTTTTTGGTTCCACGCGTACAAAAAAATGGATTTGATTTGGGTTGGTGAGCAAGAAGCCCGCAAAAAAAACGACACTTGAGCGAGGGATCTGGATAAAAAACGCAGCCCAAAAGCAGGCTACACTTTTTTCGCTTTTCTCGCTTTTTTCGCCCTTTCCCCTACTCTAGCAACGGGTTACGACTCGTATACGCAACTTATTTCATCGGTTAACGTGGCGTATGTGCAACTACTTTTTGTGCCACCAAATTTTCATTGCCGCTTTTTAATACACTTAACTTGCGGTGTAACAAAGGCCTGTGTCATTATGCATGTTTCAGGGCAATGCGGTAAATCAAATTTATTTATTGTGTTATTGTGTTGCAGTGAATTTTACACAATTTACACGTGCCCCAACATGACTTATGAAACATTACTTTAAGAAAAAATGATAAAAATGTTATACATGTATTTATATGCGCTCTATAATTCTCGCTTTGTGGGTCGTCTTTCCGTGCTGCCAAAGCATTTCAACTTTGCGGAAAAATGTTGTGATATCTTTCTGGGTGTCAAAGAAGATTCTGCTTCAGCTTTGGCGTCAACTTCAGCTTTGCCTTGGCGACAGTCGAGAGCGCAGTGAATGTCGTTTTAATAATTTATTTTTCTTGCACAGCAGGCTTCTCATTAACAGACAAATACAAGCGCAGAATGACACACACACACACACACACACACACACACAGAGCACATACACGCATAGAACACGCACTTGGCAGCCTCGTCGGCGTTGATTCGGTCGGCTGACTGCTGCATATCACCTTAATTACAGGCAGCAGTCTGGGCGCAGTCAGACGGCAAATGGCAGACAAGCTAACAGCGTTTATGGTGGGCCAAATTGCCATTCCCACCCCCAGCTCCTAGCTCCCAGTCCCCACTTGTACAAGCCATATTGTCGTTGCCGTTACGCTTTAGCGATTCGTTACTGTACTCGACAGAAAGAGCAACGGATTCAGTTTGCACTCGACTGCTGATAAGCGTGCGATTCCTGCAGGGGCGCCCACTTAGCACACACACCCATACACCCACACACCTAACACACACGGACACAGTCAAACAGCTGCCGTGATGGCCATGAATACATGCACCGTTGGGTTGCGTTTATATCGGGCTTATGTTACATCTAAGTGAAATTTAAGGACTCCACTCAACAGCGTACCAAATCCTCTGCATAGTTCATGGGTAGCCTTGATGGGGTTGGTGGTGTGGGGCAGGCGGTGGCATTTCACATGATGAGTTTGCTTTCCACGGAAGCAGGAAGCCATCAAGGCACACACCCACTCACCGCCACACTCTTATGTACACCCACTCATCTACATCTACACACACACACACACGCAGAGATACACAATCATGATGAGGCCGATGAGTGTCAGCTTGTAGAACAGAACAGAGCAGATCAGCAGCCCAGCAGCCAAATTCCACCTGCAACAGGACGTTGCCACTTACACGGACCATAACTGGCAATGGGAAACCAACGGACCGGCCCAAAAAGGATACAACGAGTGGTGGAATGTGTGGACTGGGTCGAATGAGAACCGGGCCTAGACCGGGCCATTGTGCAACCACTTCATTTCGATTCTAATAACTCCAATTACAAATGGCGGATGGGATAAACTCGTTGTGCATATGCGACCGAAGGGAAGGGTGGAATCAACGAGTGTGTGTGTGTGTGTGTGGGCTCGGTTTTCAGGGCAGGGCAGGGCGGTGCCCTTCTGTTGGGGGTGGCTCAACTTGTTGCTGGACTTTATGACATGCCAGCCGCTTTATCCAGGCTATTATTTCAAGGATTTAATATGAAAGGACAATGCACAGCCACTAGCACTGGCACTGCCATTGCCCCCGCCATGGCCATTCTCGATGCCATTGCCATTGCCGTGGGCTGGGATTTGCCTCGCAAAACAAATCACACATAAAAGGAACGAAAAAGGGCGAAGGGTCCGAAGTCCAAAGGCAATGTGTGGCAAAAAGTGGCAGAATCCCCACAAAGATTCGCCCAATTAGCCGCCACTGAATGAGTTTTCCAGCTGCAGACCAGAGAGAGAGTTCACATTGGAAATTTGTCAGTTAACAAATTTTATTCCTAGACACTCGTATGGATACTTAAAAGCTAATTAGTTGCAATAGATGTAAGATGTGGGGTAATGTGATCGTTTAGGAAACGTTACCGTGTAGTGGTAGCTCGTATACGGCACTCACTTGACGCGGAAGCGACGCAGAGTGGGTGGCAGATAATCCTGGCCAGCCACCACATTGGCGGGAAGATACTCGGAGCTGGGAGCGCGCGACAGGCTGGCGGGTACTGATTGGGCTGCCGCTGGTGAGGCAAAGTTCAACACTGGAGCACGACCCTCATTGGAGATGCGGGACACGCCTGGCAGCTGGTTGTACTGGTTCTGGATGGCAAGCTGGGCGTTGGCCGCATCCTCGGGAGTGCGGTACTTGACGAAGTGCACCTCGGGCTTATTGGTGGATGTGGACTTGAGGGCATTCAGCTGCTTGGCCAAGTTGGCCACGTCGGCCTGCTTGGTCAGCACATAGATGGCGGTCTCCTGCTGGGCGGACTGCTTGGCCAGCTGCAGGGCGGCCTGCTCGAAGCCCTGGTTCTCGGGTGTGCGGATGAAGACGACGCGCAGGTTCTTCTTCAGCGAGCTGGCAATCTGCTGGTTGTTGACACCCTCATCGAACTGCTCCTCGGGCGCCGCGTAGCTGTAGAACTCCTTCTGGAACTCCTCGACCAGAGGGGCAGCCTGGGGAATGATTGGCGCCTGGATGGGTGCTGCGATGGGCTGCGAGAGCACAGCCTCTCCACTCTGCACCTGCTGCAGCTGCTGCTGGATCTCGATGGGAATCTGTCCGCTGCCTGGAAGGAAGGAGAGGCCCTCATCGGCATGGGCCACGGGCTGGTAGTTGTAGCCCAGCTTATCGGCACTGCAGCTGGCAGCCAAAAGGCACAGAAGCTGTGGGAAGGTTGCGTGGTTAGAGGTGATGCTGATACATTCCATGACACAGTCCATGAATAATGGTTGCTTGACTTACAATGAAGACGCGCATTGTGGCTGGGCTGGGCTGGTGGCTTGGTCTTGGAGGTGACAAGAGGAACTAATGCTTGAAGTTCGACAAAGTCTGGCTTTTATAGGCACAAGCCACACGTTGAGAGCGGCAGAGAGATCAGATCCATGCATGCATTGGGACGTTTGACACTCATCCCCCTCCCACAACACAAAACGAGGGGAACGCCTGGTTTCGGTGTGACCTTGCCGTTGATTTCGATGCCATTCGATGGTCATTAAAATGCCTCGACCGTTTAAATATGCATGCGTCTTCCCTGGCTTAGGCCTAGACCTGATCCATGATAGTCTGTCTTGCCTTTTTCTTTGTTTTTGATTTAAATGCACTCTGCGACATTTATAAATATGCATGGACCAGCGATCTGCGATTGCGAATGCTGCTGCTGCTGTTGCTGCTGTTGCTGCTGCTGCCACATTATCTAATTGATTTGTGTTGGCTGCGACAGGCCATAAAACAGACTCTCAGTCAATGCTCCACAGCATCAGCGCGGAGCAGCTGCCACTGTGTTGAAATGCCTTGGAAAATAAACAGCTACTGGCTTTGCCGATAATATCTGGAAGTTGGCTGCTGGCTTTGAGTCTTTCGGTCCAGATGCAGACGCAGACGCAGGCCCAGGCACTTGCCAGCCGACCCAGCTAAGCCGGTAATTATAATTTTCATAATTTTCCACAACTTGGCTTTTTCGCTGTGCTTGCGCGCTGCTGACTGCTGGCTGCCGGCTGTCTGTTGGCTGTTGGCTGTTTGCTGCTCCCATTGCTCCCGCGGACGTCAATCTCTTTCGACGGTTCAGCTAATGAAGTTCTTTAACTAATTTAAACTTTTTGGCATCGTTTGATGGCCAAGCAAAATAAGAATTTAACATTTTTTATCAGCAGCTGCGTGGGCCGAGGCCCAGATACAAAGAGATACGGGATACGGGATACGCAATTCCCAAAACTCATAATTACAATTTCCACTGACAAGTCATTTGCTTTCCCTGACTACCAGTGAGTACCAGTGATTCGAAGCCAAAAGTTTGGTTGATTTAATACTGATTTGACTACCATCTCCCCGCTCCCCAAGTTGCCACGACTTGTACTACATATTTTCTATGATAGTACGAGTATATATATATATATTATTCAAGCGAAAGTGAATCTCTGAAGTTTCAGCTACTCATGCTGCTTATTATCCCTGTTCCCCTGTTCCCCTGTTGGTCCCCTGCCACGCAAAGTTTGGCGCCTAGAGTGAAAATAACAAAAAGCAAAACCCGCAGCAGCGCCAAACTGCGCCTAATTTGGGGATGGCGCCCCGCAAAAATGAAGAAAAGATTGAAAAACACGCAAACTTGGCAGCTGCTGCTGCTGCTGCTGCTGCTGAGGGAATCCGTTCCAAGACTTGGACCTTGGACACACCTGTCCCAAAATTGCAGCCAGTCATGAGTTGTCCTGGCAGCCAGGATTAAAGCAGTTCTTGCCCTCTGGCTCCATGCTGCAGCCGGCTGGCTAGCACACAAAGAGGAGTTTCCTCGTGCACATTCTCCTACTCCTCCTCCTCATCTCTTCTGGAGCAGAATGTGAGACCGGCAGCTTTGACGTGACTGGCAAACTTTTTGGCAGGCGCCGCTAACGAGCGACGCTCCCCTCCCTCTTCACTGTGTTGCTCGAAAATGCTTAAACTAAAACTTGCTCAACAGATTTGCAGTGGCGGGCGCCTTTTTTTACGGCTGCTTTTCAGCGTGTCATATGGCAATGGAGGTGGAAGTGTGTGTTTGACCTTTGACACTAAAACAATTTGCAAAGCGAAGTGATGTCAGGCTCAGTGTCCTTCTGCTCCACTCCTGCTCCACTCCACCTCCTCTATCTCGTCGTAATTTAGTTGAAACATTCTTAAAGCAGCGCCTGTCGTAAAACCCGTGGCGACACAGAAGTTGGGGGGCAGCGGATGCGACAGCGTTGTGGGTGGCCCATGTAGGGGGCAAACTCTGAACGCAGCTCATTAAAAAGTTTCCCAGCGACAACGGCAGCAGCATCGGCAGCGGCAGCGGCGACATTTGCTCAAGAAAACGTAAAAACATTTGCATGGTTGGGCTGGAAGGAAGAGTTGGATACCAACACCTTAATGATTATCCAAGAGATACTTTGAAGATACTCGTAATCCACGAAGTGTGTGTGTGTGTGGGTGTGTGCTGTGGGAGAACTCAAAGATAAAATGTTACAGTCTGGAGCCATGCCGTGTAATTAATTATTCATAATAGCTATAGATAAACATCGGCCACGCCACCCACCGGGTGAGGTGCTTGGCCAGCTTTGCATCCTTTCACTGCCTTGGCCTTGGAGCTACAACTAAATATTTTTTGATTGAAATTTCAATTAAATTTGTTTACCAAGTAATGCAGAGACAGCGAATTCTCGAAATACATTGAGTAATTTATGGGCGTTGTTGTTGGGCGCAAACAATTATCCGCATTACGTGTATTTCCATAAAGCAAGGGGAGAAATTTCCCAGAAATTGGGTAATTCAAGCGCCACAGAACTTTGTCTTTTATTTACTAATTACAATTAAAATTTAATTTAGTTTTGCAGTCTTTGGCAGAGGCCCGTTTTCTACTTATGTCCTAGCTTGAGTGCTTCCCCGGCGGCAGGTAGTCCCGGAACAGGGCCTGCAGCCGCGCCATTTCCAGTTCTGTGGCCTCCTCGTGCACTTCATAGTCGGAGCCGCCCTTGGGCAGGATCTTGAAAATAACTGGCTCCGGCTGTCGGATTGTCGGGGGCACACTCTGCTGCGGCTTCACTTCGAAGACATCGGCAGACTCGATGGCATGGCTAATACTGTTGCCGGGCAGCTGATCGTAGCCGCTCCGCAGGCTGGCCAGAGCCCTCGTGACATCTGCGGGCGTTCGGTACTTGACGAAGTGCACCGATGGCTTGTGCTCCGCCTGCTGCTGAATGGCGGCCTGTTGTTCGGCCAAAGCTGCCGTATCCGCCTGCCGCTGCAGCACATAAATGTCCAGTGGATTCTGGGATGCCAGCTGCTTGGCCGTCAGCGTGAACAGATTCGTCTCCGGAGTGCGAATGAAGACGACCTGCTGCGGCGGCGCCAGGGCCGTGGCCAGCTCTCGGGCTGCCTGCCAGGGCGCTGCCTGATCCTCATCCGGCGGAGCCGCGTAAGTGAAGTACTCCGTGGCCAAAGGGCGCTCCGGGGCGTAGCCATTGTTGGCCGGCAGGTAGGCGTTGTTCAGGGCATGGCTAATGCCGAAGAGCAACGAAATGGACTGTGGATATGGTTATGGTTATGGTTAGCAGATTGCGGATGCCATGGCCTTCATCGTACTCCTACATACCATGAGGGTGCGCATGCTGAGTGGATCTGTGAGGTGTGCTTTGGATGGGCGGCCTGCCGCGGCTGATTTTCACCGCTCGAAGCTCTGTTGGGTTATAGTCTAGTCACAGCAACAAAACCATCCTTATATACGACACAAACAACAAGACCGATGCTCGAAAGTAAGCTGACTTCTCGGCAGCGTCGTCTCTCTTTATGATTATTTCGTTTTATTTTAAATTTTTTGCATTCGTTTTTATTTTTTTATTTTATGAACTTATAAAAGATTTTTGCAAACGCTGACTCTGGCTTTGGCTTTGGCTGTGGCTCTGCTCTGGTTTTTGTGTGTCTGCTGCTGCTGCTGCTGCTGCTCCGATTATCCATGTTAATGTCGTTCAATTTTGAAATGCAAATTTCTGTGCTTGCAAGACACCCGAGACAAAAGCCAAGTCCAAATGCGTGAAGCCCGTATGTAGAGGCGCCAGCTCTGACCCGGGCCCAGGCCCGGGTCCGGCGTGAACTTGAATTTAATTCGCATAAAATTTACAAATGAGCTCCCAATTTGAATTAGTTATAAAATATTTTCATATGCTATTGGGGCACACACCACACACACCATTGTTGTCGCTTGCCATAGACAAAGCCATTTGTTGTGACTGCTGTGGAGCGGGGGGGCAGCTCTGCTCTCTGGAGGCTTACACCTCCGCAGCTTTACTTTCACTTGGAAGATATTTTTATGGTCGACGTTTTATGGCTACCTGATTCGTTAATTTACACGTCATTTTGATGTGTTTTTTTTTTGTCAGAGTCTTCTTTTTGTCGACTGGGCCCGGCTCGGCTTGGATCTGATAAGCCGCTTAACAAATTTACAACTCGGACCGGGCACCGAGCAACGATCCGATCCGTTGAGCTCTCACTAAAGAAGCTGAAAACACTGGTGGCAATTCATTGATATCTCGACTTTTATTTGCAGCTACAACTAGATACATACGGAGGGGGGGGGAGGGGGCAGTTTTATGGAACTAATTTAATGTCTTAATTAGCGGAGGAATTTAAGCCTAGTGGTGGGCGCGTCTGCGGCGCTTGGAGGCTTGTTGGGAACGATAGTAGTTGGAGGAGGATAACTCCGTGGGAAAGACCATGCGACTGCCCGAGCGCCGTCTCTCGTTGGCTCGGAAACCGGTGCGAAGCGATCTGCCGGATCGTTCGTCCAAGTCGTCGTAGCTGGAGCCAAGGTCCTGCTGCGGCTCAGACAGAGGCGGCAGATCAATCTGCCCCAGTGTGCCTGCTGCTGCCCCAGCTCCAGATCCTCCCGCATTGTAGCCCTGAGCAATGGAGGCATAGTTGGGCAAGGAGGGCAGATATCCTGCTTGGGGAGGAGCTGGTGGTGGCAGGTAACTCGATTGAGGAGCTGCTGGCAGGTAACTCGATTGAGCACGAGGAGGTGGAGGTCCGGGCAAGTAGCTTGGTTGTGGGGCTGCTGGCAGGTAGCTCGTCTGAGGCAACGGTGTCGGCAAGTAACTGCTCAAAGGAGAAGGTGTGGGCAAGTAGCTGGACTGAACAGATGCAGCTGGTGGCAAGTAACCAGGCCGTGGTGGCGGCGAGGCTGGCAATTGAGGCTCTGGATAGTAGCCTTGGTCCTGTTCCGGCTGCGGCTGCTGCTCCGGATAGTAGCCCAATGAGGATGTCTGTGCTGGCTGCGGTGGCGCCGTGCCGCCGTACTGCGCCTGAATGTGCTGCTGTGCCTGGACAGCCTCCGCTTCCGTCCTGTATTTGACAAAATGAACTTGGGGCTTGTGTTTGTGGTGCGTCTTCAGGACGCTCAGTTGGCTTGCCAATTCGTTCGAGTCCGTCTGCTTGTTCAGCACATAGATGGCCGTCTTGTCCTCGGTGGTCTGCTTGGCCAGTGCGCTGAGAGCCCCCACCACGGCCTTGTTTTCCGGCGCCTTGATGAACACCACCTGCAGGTTCTTCTGCGAGAGGGAGGCCAACTTGGTCTCCACCAGGTCCGCCTCCTCGCCTGAGTCGTAGGGCGCTTCGAAGGCATAGAAATGCTTGTGGAACTCGGCATGGTCATCGTAGTGTTCATTAGCTAAAGTCGGATACCCGCCGTCCGCGGAGGTTCCATCGTTTCCATAGTCCTGAGCTGCAGCTCCGTAGCTGTTGAGGGGCGCATTGTTCTGCTGGTACTGGTACCCCAGCTCCGCCGAGCAGCAGCAGCTGGCCAGTAATACAAGAAACTGAAATTCATTTTATTAATAATCATATCTGTGAATTCCCTGCCGTAGTGTTCAATCCGCTTACCACAATTCCCAACATGATATAACCACTGCGAAGAGCAACAGGCATTTGTCTGACAATCAACCAGCCCCGGAGCGTTTTATAATCTCATGTTGGCTAGACCCAACCCCGCCAAATCGGGACTCCATAAGTCGTCCCGCCTTATAGGGTAAATAGTTCAATGTCGCGCGAATTTCGCCAGCTATTCCCAGACTTAAAGATTACAACATTTCACATTAACATTATTTTTTATTTTTATTTTGGACTTGTCTCGAAAATCGCAATACAAACTATTCAACAGAGATGGTCTCCAGATGGAGGAGGTCGCAGCGAGTGCGTAGGAATCAGTGGGGGTCAGTCAGTGGGTTCACTCGGCTGTCGTTCGGTTCGATGGCCCCTTACAGGCGGTGACGCAGCACCGATGCGGGCAGGTAAGAGTTCTCCGGAGAGGAGGGAGCGGCCACTGGGCGGGCGGGTGCCTGGGAGGCAAAGTTCAGCACGGGGGCAACACCGCCGTTCTGGATGGACGAGGATCCTCCAAGCTGATCGTACTGTCCCTGGATGGCCTGCTGGGCGTTGGCAGCGTCCTCGGGTGTGCGGTACTTGACGAAGTGCACCTCGGGCTTGTTGTTGTTGTTGCTGCGGATGGAGTTCAGCTTGTTGGCCAGATCTCCGATATCGGCCTGCTTGTTCAGGACATAGATGGCGGTCTCCTGCTGGCCGGCCTGCCTGGCCAGAGCCAGAGCAGCGTTCTCCAGGCCACGGTTCTCGGGTCCCTTGATAAAGATGACGCGCAGGGCCTTGTTCAGGGCACTGGACACCTGCTCGGATCCGGCTGGCTCATTGAAGGCGCTCTCATCGGCTGTGTAGGTGAAGAACTCCTTCTGCAGCTCGGTCTGGGGAGCGGAGTAGTTGGGGGCGTCAGCCGAGGGAGCAGCTTCGGGTGCGCTGCCAAAAGACTCAGAGGGGGCATTGAATGTGGGCTGTTCCTGGGTGGCAGCCGCCGCTGGGCTGTAGGATTGACCGCCAGAAGATTGGGCATAGGATGGTCCGGCAGCAGACGGAGCATAGGACGATGATCCAGTGGAGGCGGATGGCTGATAGTTGTAGCCGAGCGAGTCGGCGCTGGCAGCAGCCACAAGGCAAAGGGCCTAAAGCAGCAGCAGAAGATGGAGATTCTATAGTAGTCTTTAAATGATTAGCGACCAATCGAAAAGGACTTACAATAAGGAAACGCATCTTGGGACTTGTGTAGGTGGATAACTGCGATCGGTTTGCTGGGTAAACTTCGAGTATGCTGATGTCACAGACGCCCACGTCTTTTATGCGAAAAAAGGGGACTGCAGCTTGCAGCTCTCCTAATTAGCATTCGGCATTTTTAATTGGTTGTCTTTTGTTTTTGCACCTCATTTGGAGCAGGTCGAGATTGCTGTCGCCATTCGCTCCCTCATCAGCGCTGCTCTTGGCTGCTCTTGCCAATTCCCCATTCGCTTTTTGGCCACTTTTAATGTTTTACTTCTTCGTGTTGTTTTTTGCTGATTTTATTTCTACTCGTGCGAGTATCGCTGCCAACTGTTGGATTTAGTTTTGGTCTTGGCTTTCGGCTCTGCTCTGCGCATCGTTATCTGTTTTTCGTGCTTGTCTTGGTTGTTGGTTGTTGGTTGCTGGTTGTTGTTTTGCATAATTTGTCGACGAGCATAATTTTTTATGATTTTTCTAACAAACTCTGGTGACTTTTCTGCTTATGCTAATCAGCCGTAGTGGGTGCTCTTGAACAGAGCCGTCGATGTCCACTTTTGCTCTTTGTTCGGCTTTGGCTTTGGCTTTGGCTGGCCATTCATCCGGCCGCTCTGTTATCACTCATACATTATGTATTACCCTGACGTGGTCTGGCCCGATCCATACCGAACCGAACCGAACCGAACCGATCTGGGCTTGAACCATCTGCGGTTCCGTCTTGCAGTTGCCATAAATTTACGCGCTAATAGTTTGTCTAACCTTTTACTTCACGCAGATTAACATTTTAATTATGATAAAAAAAATTTCGTCGATTGTTTTGCCTGCCTGCATGCAAGAAAACAAAAAAATGTAAATTTATATATTGATTTCCACTTGTATTCGGCGCTTTGGAATTTTTATTGCCACTCAGGGCATGTAATAAACGACGAAATCTGCAATTTTTCAAACCGCTCCGAGTGAGTAATCTGCGTCCACCCATCGACATTCACTTTTGACAGAGATAACTTCATATCGTGTCCCACACCTAGTAAAACACTCGATTGCTTCAGTTTAAAATATAATTGTATTTGGGGCGTTCGACAAATCAATAGATAACACAACAGTTAACAAATGGCAGATGGAAGAGCTCCAGAGGAGCCATGGCTATGGCCTCCTATGGCCTCCTAGTAACGGAAGCGCAGGCGACGCAGCACCGACGAGGGCAGGTACGAGTTCTCGGGGATCTGGGCAGTAGCCTGACGCACTGGACCAGCGGAGGCGAAGTTCAGGGCGTTGGCCACACCACCATCATGGGCCTGGGAGGATCCACCCAACTGATCGTACTGCGACTGAATGGCGCGCTGTGCGTTGGCAGCGTCCTCGGGTGTGCGGTACTTGACGAAGTGCACCTCGGGCTTGTTGTTGGAGTTGCTGCGGATGGCATTCAGCTTGTTGGCCAGATCTCCGATATCGGCCTGCTTGTTGAGGACATAGATGGCGGTCTCCTGCTGGGCAGCCTGCTTGGCCAGGGCCAGGGCAGCGTTCTCCAGGCCACGGTTCTCGGGTCCCTTGATGAAGACGACGCGCAGACCCTTGTTCACAGAGCTGGAGACGCGTTCCAATTCCTGGGGCTCATCGAAGTCCTCCTCGTTGGCGGAGAAGGTGAAGAATTCCTTGTTGAGCTCGGCAGATGGAGCGGGAGCCTCGTAGCTGACGGGACCACTGATGCCACCGCCAAGACCGGAGGAGCCCAGACCGGAGGAGCCCAGACCGGAGGAGCCCAGACCGGATGAGCCAAGACCAAGTCCAGACAGTCCACTGGAGCCACCGCCCAGACCGCTGTCCAGGCTGCCGAAGTTGCTGCCGCCTCCTAGACCGCCTCCTAGACCGCCTCCTAGACCGCCTCCTAGACCACCTCCTAGGCCTCCTCCTAGTCCTTGGAGTCCTCCTCCAATGCTACCACCGCCGATGCTACCACTGCCGATGCTGCCGCTGCCAGGAGCGAAGGACAGGCCGGAGTTGGAGTGACCCACGGGCTGGTAGTTGTAGCCGAGCTTGTCGGCGCAGGCGACTGCCACGAGGCACAGGACGATGAAGGCGCGCATCTTTGATGTTCTACTTGGAGCTCTCGATTGAGAATGATGTCGGAGGTGGCCGGTGGGCCATTTATATACATCGGATGTCAATCAGAACAAGCGCTTGACAATCACGCTAGAGATCACGATAAGGTCCGCATTGTTTGGGCCAACCTGTTTTTCTTTTCTTCTTGTTTGGCGGTGGCTATTTTGGCCTGGTCACAGCCCAAGAAGCCACAACAACGACAACAGTACGAGTAGCAGCGACGGCAGAAGTGGCGACGTTGGCGGCGGTGGCGTTGGCGGCTACGGTGTTGATTAAAATTTGATGAACTTGCAGCTTACAATCCAACGAATCTTTATGCAAATCAGGGGCGCGAGCAGCCCAGTTGTTGAGGCACAAAGGGCTGGGGCTGGGGCTGGGGCGGCGGCAGAAGCTCCAAATTGTTCGACTGTGCAGTAGCCAGATCCCTTTGTTCATTCATTTTGTTATGCAAATCGCTTGGATGCCCCGCGCGATGATTGAAAGTAAGACTGCCTCTGACCAATGCTTTTGGGCTAATTTTCCAGCTTAATAATTTTAAATTGCTCCCCGCCATACCACTATGGACTTGGCCATTGGGGCCCATTGTCAGCTGTCGGTTGCCGTCTAATGCAATTTGTCAAAAGCGGCAGAGATTCAATTTGCCGAATGCGTGGGCTCCGCTTTGGGCTGGGCTTTGCGGTGGCCCCAAGTAGCAGGCAGATGGGCGATAAGCCGTGTGTTATACACCGGATTATACAAAACGCTGGCAGAGAACATGTTCTACTACGACTATTTCCGCTCCTCATTTGCAATTTTCATAAACAGCCTAGACGGCGGACTCATAATTCAGCGCCGCACCCGTCGGACTCGTTTGCCAGCCGCCCAAACTGCGGAATGGAGTTCAAAAACACGACAACACGGAATACGTAAAAGATACTGAATTCCGAAACTCGCAAATAAAATACGATTTCGATTCCGAATCAGAGTCCGAGTCCGAGTCATTTCCATGTCTAGGAATGTTCGTTGAGCAGATCCGCAAACTATTTGGCAATTTAGATTTAACAAACAAAACAGATTTATTTTCGTAACATTAGCAAAACAGTAACAAAGGAATGCCGGCCCAAGAGTGGGCTCCGGACCTTAGATCTGGGATCTTAGAATCGCAGGCGACGCAGAATGTTGGCGGGCAGGTAGCTGCTACCAGGCGTCACGGGGGGCACATAGGAGGAGATTGGAGCAGTGGCCTCGGGCAGGCCGGAGGGCACGAACGGGCCCTGGGCGATGCCAGCGCCTGCGGGAGCGGCAGCTGGAACAGGAGCGCTCGAGGCGAAATTCAGGGCTGGAGCAACACCGCCATCGGTGGACTGGGAGGATCCTCCAAGCTGATCGTACTGTCCCTGGATGGCCTTCTGGGCGTTGGCAGCGTCCTCGGGTGTGCGGTACTTGACGAAGTGCACCTCGGGCTTGTTGTTGTTGTTGCTGCGGATGGAGTTCAGCTTGTTGGCCAGATCTCCGATATCGGCCTGCTTGTTGAGGACATAGATGGCGGTCTCCTGCTGGGCAGCCTGCTTGGCCAGGGCCAGGGCAGCGTTCTCCAGGCCACGGTTCTCGGGTCCCTTGATGAAGACGACGCGCAGGGCCTTGTTCAGGGCACTGGACACCTGCTCGGAGGCAGCTGGATCGTAGAAATCACCCTCGTCGGCGGTGTAGGTGAAGAACTCCTTCTCCAGCTCAGCCTGGGGAGCGGCGTAGTTGGGGGAACCAGATGAAGAGGCTCCAACGGGACCTTCGAGCGCTGCAGCGGGTCCAGCGGCAAAGCTGGGGGCCTCGTTGCTGGCCAGGCCCGAGGGCTGGAAGCTGCTCAATCCGGAAGGTTGGAAGCTGCTCAATCCCGATGGCTGGACGCTGGGTCCCGCTGCAAAGCTGGGCGCCTCGTTGCTGGCCAGGCCCGAGGGCTGGAAGCTGAGTCCGGAGGGGGAGTGGGCCACGGGCTGGTAGTTGTAGCCCAGTTTGTCGGCGCTGGCCACTGCGGCGAGGCAGAAGCAGAGGATGAGGGAGAACTGACGCATGTTTAGCTGGCGGATGGGTGGAGGCGTGTGATGCTGGTGGCAGATGATTCTTTGGCTTTTATGCAGATGGCTATGTGAGGCATTTACTCTTTTGCAAAAGCTCTTGCATAAAGCGGTCTAATTATGGTCGACACAGCCGCAGCCAGCCACAGCCCAGGCTGCTAAAATATGCAAGAGATCCACTCGATTGCACTGCTATTTTGCTTGGCGAGGGTCGGTCCGTCGGTCGGTCGTTCTTGCTCGGTCGGCTCCGTGGCTTGGCAGGAAGGGGCAATGTCCATGTATATGTATACGGCTATGGCTGTCGCCATAAAACTCATATTAAATTCAATATGCTTATGTGCTGCTTTAATCAATAATTTTCGTTATTCTTATTCGCGGCTCAACCTTGCCAAAATGGACTTCTAACACCATAGCCTTATCGTTAAAATCAATAAAATCGAACCACTTGGCGGTGTGGCGAACGCATCGTAAAACCGATTCGGGTCAATTTCATTGCCTCTTACTCACCTACACGGGTATGGGATGGCTCCGCATCGCACCCCTTGCCACGGGGGGGCCAGCCGGGAATGACAAGTGTCGCCCACAATTGGTCCGCGAGCAAACAAAACGTTTGGCAGACCGTTTCACATGCAAATGAGGCGCGCCTAGTCGCGTTTTTTCGCAGCCAAAAATAAATATTTTAACGATTCGCGAAATTATTATTGCCTTTTTCAGCGTCTTTGTTCGCTTTGTGTTTTTTTGTCCATTTGTATGCTCAGATTTATGCAAATGTTGCGGGTGGAGGCGACCTTCCGCAGTCTGCGCTCGTCGGCGCTGGTCTGCGCCGGAAGTGCGACTCCGACTTCATCGCTAAATATAGCCGCCATCTTTTAATGCTGCCTAGCCTCTAATTAACAACTGCACTGCAGCGACTTGTCACCGAAAGACAAATAAGACAATCTGATAATTGGACTATTCGTATTAATAAATTACTTGGCGCCATCTGAATTGGCAATCGGAATCGGAATCACAGCCCAGACTCTGATCCCCAGTTCTGGCCATCAGCTAATTTGCATTGAGCCTTCCACGAAACATGGTTTCATGTCGCAGAGCTATGCAAAGATCTGCAGCCGCAGCAGCCAAACGGCAGCGTGACAAATCATAAAATACAAATAAATATAAATATAATAAAGAAAACGTATCTTAAGCAGATTATTTATGCATTTTTAAAGCAAATGTTGACTGTTCATAATTCATATATGTTCACGATGCAGTCGACTGGTCGCCCCCCGTCGCAGACTTTGCCAAATCGAAGAACTGAATCTTGCACTTATAAAAGCGCAGAGTGCCCCCAACTAAGGCAGTTACAAATCATCTCTCCAATCCACCAAATCACCAGTCGCACTCCACAAGTCACAATGCGTGCCTTCATCGTCCTTTGCCTCGTGGCCCTGGCCAGCGCCGACAAACTGGGCTACAACTACCAGCCCGTGGCCCACTCCCCCTCCGGACTCAGCTTCCAGCCCTCGGGCCTGGCCAGCAACGAGGCGCCCAGCTTTGCAGCGGGACCCAGCTTCCAGCCATCGGGATTGAGCAGCTTCCAACCTTCCGGGATTGAGCAGCTTCCAGCCCTCGGGCCTGGCCAGCAACGAGGCCCCCAGCTTTGCCGCTGGACCCGCTGCACCCATCGACGGACCCGTTGGAGCCTCTTCATCTGGTTCCCCCAACTACGCCGCTCCCCAGGCTGAGCTGGAGAAGGAGTTCTTCACCTACACCGCCGACGAGGGTGATTTCTACGATCCAGCTGCCTCCGAGCAGGTGTCCAGTGCCCTGAACAAGGCCCTGCGCGTCGTCTTCATCAAGGGACCCGAGAACCGTGGCCTGGAGAACGCTGCCCTGGCCCTGGCCAAGCAGGCTGCCCAGCAGGAGACCGCCATCTATGTCCTCAACAAGCAGGCCGATATCGGAGATCTGGCCAACAAGCTGAACTCCATCCGCAGCAACTCCAACAACAAGCCCGAGGTGCACTTCGTCAAGTACCGCACACCCGAGGACGCTGCCAACGCCCAGAAGGCCATCCAGGGACAGTACGATCAGCTTGGAGGATCCTCCCAGGCCCATGACGGTGGTGTCGCATCCTCCCTGAACTTCGCCTCGCAGCCAGCGCCCGCGCAAGAGAATATTGGTGGCTCTGCCAGCGCTCCAGGCGCCAGCTACTTGCCCGCCAACATTTTCCGCCGTTACCGTTTCTAAGACGGAATCTGAAACTTGTTGATTTGTTGCTTAGTTGTTTAAATAAATAAAAATTTCAAAGAAATCATAAATTCATTTTTTCTTCTGATATATGAGCCGAGTCTTAGGATACGAATGGAAACACTTCACATTTAATAAAAATTTGGGGGAAAACAAAAGTGTTTAGCTATTAAAATTTCGTTGAAATTGGAGTTGTCTCACCTAATATTCTATGCTGTTTTCTGTTGAAATGTGCACAGTAGGTTGAGCGAAAAAAATTTGTTTTTGAATTTAACCTTAGCTGAACTTCCCCATTTTCACCAATCGATTGGTTAGAAGGCGGGATTTTGCATAGATTCGATTAATATGGGTCATTCCAAAAAATTAATTAAAAATATAAATAGGTTTATGCACCAAAATCGGGTTTTTACCCACAGTGCTAATCGTTAAAAAACTTCATTGACAGTGGATACAAATAAATAATTAAAATACCTTATTATTAATATGAACTAGTTTCTAGGTTTCAATAAGCTTATGATTTATGCAGAATTTTAAAATATTTTACTGCTACATCTGTCATCTACATCTAACATGTTTATTTTACCATCTAGAACAGTAGACTTATACATCTTTGGTATAGGTTCTGAATCTTTTTTCTTGGCGAAATTCTCGCAGACGGCAGTTTAGTGTGTTCGAGCGAGAAAAATAATGAGTAGCGTCAGCAGCGCTGGAGGAGGTGAGGAAGCAACTGAAAATTATTTTCTTCATTCTGGCTATAATAATGATCCGATCTGATTCAGATTCGGCAATCGGATATATATGGCCATTCTCTACGATACTACGATTTTACTTTTAAAATCGGAAAAGATTCCTTTCCTGCGTTACACACATCCACTTTTACCACAACTCTAATATACCCCTTAACTCTTTTTGAGTACGGGTATACAAATTTGAAAAAAAAAAAACTAACAAAGAACAGAGTACAGGTATGTCCGCTTAAAAAAAGAAAACAAAATTCGTTGGGTAAAATTTTGGCCCAGCTTTGTGCACAGCCACAAACCAAACAAAAGTTAAAGATCAATTCTGTCTGAATGAAACGATTGAATGACTCCTAAACATATGCTTTAAAAAAACATCTTGCCATAAAGTTGAAGCTCCGATAAAATGTATTGCTCTTTTTGTGTATATTTAAGATGACTTAATAAGATTGGAAATCATTAAATATTATCATAAAATATAATCGGGGTGATGTCAATTCTGACATGGTTCCCTTAAAAATAGACCATTGTGCTTTGGAGACGAAACTCAGCCATAACAATGATGTAATCTGACTTTTCGTCCCATTCGGATCGAAATGAGATCGGTTTCCCCACTGACGCAAGTTGATATTGATGGGACTTATGTAGAGGACTAGTGTGGAATTCCCCAGCCGAACTGAAACCAGTTCCCCGCTACATACGTGGCCAACTGGCGAGTTCAAAGAGCTCTTCCGACAGCATTCTTCTTGACGTTGTACTTTGAGCAAGAAACTTGTTCGAATTCCAACTCACTTTCGATTCGTGGCGAGGCGAGGCAGAGATTCATAAACTATCAATGGAATCAGCATATCCATAGATTAGTTTTATGGACTTGTAGGCGGAACTCCTAGAATGCAACGCATTGTTTGTCGGATTTAACGACTGCGAGAACATTTATTGCCGGCTCTTACTTTTTCGAAACGAGTTCGATAGTTTTTGCAGCATTTTCCCAGCACTGCGAATTCCAATCTGTTTCAGATCGGCCAAGAATAGAACCAAACCTGGCGCCGGTAACCGGTCCTCCTAAAGCGCCTCTGCATTTGGACAGAAAGTCTGGGCTCGAGTGGCCGACTGGATCGGCTCTATTAAGGAATTAGATAGTTTTGCATAATCATTTCATAAGCGCAACACTTTGCATAAAAAACTAGTTGAGTTATGAAGCGAACCCGTCGGGAATCATTTCGGCTATTGTTCTAACGCCAATCCCGCTGCGGTTCTTCCGTATAAAAGGTGCGCGCCGCAGTCTCAGGATTCAGTCTTGGCCTTTTGCCTGTTCACTACACCTCAATCCACCTTCGACAATGCGTTTCCTCATCGCTCTCTGCCTGATTGGCGCCGCATGCGCCCAGTACAACTACGGTGCGGGACAGTACACTGGCTCCGCCTCCGAGAACGTTCCCAGCTACTCCGGCGGCTCTGACAGCTCGTACGATGCCGCTCCCAGCAGCCAGAGGAACAACTACGCGCCCTCCAGCGAGCTGAACAAGGAATACTACACCTTCGAGGCCGATGAGAACGATTTCGAAGATCCTCTGGCCGACCAGAAGATTGCTGGCTCCGTGAACAAGGGTCTCCGTGTGGTCTTCATCAAGGGACCTGAGAACCGTGGTCTGGAGAACGCTGCCCTGGCTCTGGCCAAGCAGGCTGCCGAGCAGAGGACCGCCATCTATGTCCTGAACAAGCAGGCCGACATTGGAGATCTGGCCAACAAGCTGAATGCCGTCCGCCAGAATGCCAACAACAAGCCCGAGGTGCACTTCGTCAAGTACCGCACTCCCGAGGACGCTGCCAACGCCCAGCGCGCCATCCAAGGACAGTATGACAACCTCGGTGGATCCTCTCAGTCCATCAACGGAGGCATTGCCAATGCCATCAACTTCGCTTCCCAGGCCCCAGCGGGTCCTTCCCGTCAGTCCGGTGGCAACTACTCGCCACCCGGTGCCGTGAGCAACTCCTACCTGCCCGCCAACATCTTGCGTCGCCTGCGTGTCCGTTAAGGAGTTGAGGAGGAGTCCGGTCCGCCCCGATTGTTGTTGTATATAATGCCCAGTTGTACCCATTTTTAAACGAATAAAGACGAAAAACGATGTAAACCCAAAGCCCAGTTGATGTGATCGTGATCGTGATCTTGTGTAATACTTGTGGCGGTCGCATTCCATGTTCCGCACTGCTGGACTGCTGGCCGCATTGTGTGCGGTTATTGCATTTTTATGCTCATGTTTTTTTATTTTTATCGATTTTCCTTATAATAACATTTATGCAAAGCCGAATTGCTCTGGTCCGAGCGCACACAAAGGCCGAGAGCGAGCGCTGCCTACTTTGTAGGCGGAAAAAAACATTTAGCGGCGTCATCGCTTTGTCTTCGAGAAGCTGCGCTGACAGCCTCGAAGACAGATTTGTATAAATAATAATCGCCGCCGCAGAGACAGCCAGAAGCCAACCGTGCTCCAAACCAAGAGAACCTAAGCAGCAGAATCCAAGATGCGTGCCTTTATTGTAAGTTTCCGGAAGGATCAGCGACGGCGACAGCGACAGCAACAGCTGCAGCTCCATCCCAACAGCCCTTACTAATGGATTACTCTCGCCCACAACTTACTTACCATAGGTTATGTGCCTGATCGCAGTCACCTGCGCCGATAAGCTCGGCTACAACTACCAGCCCGTGGGACACTCCAACTCCGGCCTGTCCTTCGCTCCTGGCAGCGGCAGCATTGGTGGTGGTAGCATTGGCGGTGGCAGCATTGGCGGTGGACTCCAAGGACTCGGAGGTGGTCTGGGAGGAGGCAGCATTGGCGGCGGTAGCCTTGGTGGTGGTTCCATCGGAGGAGGATCCCTCGGCGGTGGCATCATTGGTGGCGATTCCGGTCTGGGCGGCCTCGGTGGTCTGTCTGGCGATTCTCTGAGCGCTCCCGTCTCCTACAACGCCCCCGCCCCAACTGCCGAGCTCGAGAAGGAGTTCTTCACCTTCTCTGCCAACGAACAGGACTTTGATGAGCCCCAGGAATTGGAACGCGTCTCTAGCTCTCTGAACAAGGCCCTGCGCGTCGTCTTCATCAAGGGACCCGAGAACCGTGGCCTGGAGAACGCTGCCCTGGCCCTGGCCAAGCAGGCTGCCCAGCAGGAGACCGCCATCTATGTCCTGAACAAGCAGGCCGATATCGGAGCTCTGGCCAACAAGCTGAACTCCATCCGCAGCAACTCCAACAACAAGCCCGAGGTGCACTTCGTCAAGTACCGCACTCCCGAGGATGCTGCCAACGCTCAGCGCGCCATCCAGGGTCAGTACGATCAGTTGGGTGGAACCTCCCAGGCCACCGATGGTGGTGTGGCCCCGGCCCTGAACTTCGCCTCCGCTGGTCCAGTGCGTCAGGCTACTGCCCAGAACCCCGACAACTCCTACCTGCCCTCTTCGGTCTTCCGTCGCCTGCGCTATTAAGCATCGTGTTGCTGAATGGTTTCGAGCAATCGAAACTATTTCTGGTCCTTGTTAAAGAATTATTGTTGAAACTTATTGATAAATATAAAATTAAATAAAAACGAAATACAAATTTACACAGTTTTGGATAATTACTTAGAAAATGAAGGTAAATATTACATATATACAGGCCTATGCTAAAAGAAAAACAAAACAAAAACGATGTCGGACAGCGATTTATCAAGAATTTACGTGCAGAAATTATGTGGCGGTCGGACACATTGCAATGGAATCTCAGATTTTTTTTTTTCCATAAAAAATTGTATGTAGAAAATCAGGTGTGCTTTTGAATAAAATGTCAAAATTTGGACACTTTTTTATATTTACCTTTTAGCCCCTCATCATTATCCTCCTCCTCGTTCAGAAACACAATTTTGTTGTTCAAAATCGCGCCAACAAAAACTCCCGAAAATTACGAATTGGCTCCTTTGAAATTGACAAATAATTTCTGCACGTAAATTCTTGATAAATCGCTGCCCGTAAGGGATATTTGTTCCGCGACTTTAGGAGCATAGGCTCGAATATCGAACATTTACCATATGAGATTTGCTTACCGTTTCTGATATATCAGTTGGATTCTTATTTCTAGCCTACTAATACCAACCGCCTTACAGCTCAAACAATCTGGCGCAATTTAGCACATTGAATTCTGAAACGTATGAGCTGCCCATTCTTTTTAAATATAAATAATGGTTCATATCTATAGCTGTGTTCTATATAAATTCCTATTCATGAGCATTGAGTATAATAATAAGGAAAAGAGTATAAGTTCTTCCGACTCGCAATATTTTAGTATTCGATTGTCCTTGGAGGTCGATGATCTAAAATAATAATATAATATTAAGCCAAAGCAATATCGTTCAAAGTTTATATGAATCTCGCACTAAAAATAGCTGCATGATTCAATAGATAAATCAGAGAGGCGGCATCTTAAACACCTCATTAGATGCACCTCTAATTATGGGGCTTGTGTCATGCCCATAAATCAAAACCATAAAGATGTGTCGACATCGATTATGATAACTAAACGATTGACCGCTGTCGGTCTATCGGGAAAACCAATTGCAGTTGTCCTACATAAAACAAGCCGAATAGCCTTGCCGAAGAATTTGAGAGAGAGAGAGATATTTATTTTATATAATACATAATTATGACCCATCTGCATGATAAACTCATTCCGATGTGCTCGCGACATATTAATTTTATAATTTAATATTAATTCTTGTAAAATTATTGAATAAAAACTCGAATATTTGAATAACCCAAAGCCACCAGAGCTGTCGCTGTCCAATCGCAGCGCCATTCCAAGCAGCTGCCCATCCGAACGCAACAAAAATTCCATTGCGACCATAAAACCAAAGAGGCAAAAACCTTTGTAGGCGGCAAAACACAGTGGCATCAAAGCGATCTCCGTGCAGCGACGACGCCGCGGCGGTATCTTTGTCTTTATCAGCCTCGAAGATGGATTTGTATAAATAATAAAGATCGCTCCCATCCAAACACAGAAGCAGTTCATATCTCGAATTGAAAGAACCAAAAAAGAAGCAGAAAGATGCGCGCATTCATCGTAAGTTCCACAGACGCCACATCGCCAGGATAACCATGGATAACCCTTACCTTCTCCTACTTCTTCTTCTTCTCCGCTGTGCTACAGGTCTTGTGTTTGGTGGCAGTCGCCTGCGCCGATAAGCTCGGCTACAACTACCAGCCCGTGGGACACTCCAACTCCGGCCTGTCCTTCGCTCCTGGCAGCGGCAGCATTGGTGGTGGCAGCATTGGCGGTGGCAGCATTGGAGGTGGTCTCGGAGGTGGCAGCATTGGCGGCGGCAGCCTTGGTGGTGGTTCCATCGGCGGTGGCATCATTGGAGGCGGTTCCGGTCTGGGCGGCCTCGGTGGTCTGTCTGGCGATTCTCTGAGCGCTCCCGTCTCCTACAACGCCCCTGCCCCAACTGCAGAGCTCGAGAAGGAGTTCTTCACCTTCTCTGCCAACGAACAGGACTTCGATGAGCCCCAGGAATTGGAGCGCGTTTCCGGCTCAGTCAACAAGGGTCTGCGCGTCGTCTTCATCAAGGGACCCGAGAACCGTGGCCTGGAGAACGCTGCCCTGGCCCTGGCCAAGCAGGCTGCCCAGCAGGAGACCGCCATCTACGTCCTGAACAAGCAGGCTGATATCGGAGATCTGGCCAACAAGCTGAACTCCATCCGCAGCAACTCCAACAACAAGCCCGAGGTGCACTTCGTCAAGTACCGCACACCCGAGGACGCTGCCAACGCACAGCGCGCCATCCAGTCGCAGTACGATCAGCTCGGTGGATCTTCCCAGGCCACCGATGGTGGTGTGGCCCCAGCCCTGAACTTCGCCTCCGCTGGTCCAGTGCGTCAGGCTACTGCCCAGAACCCCGACAACTCCTACCTGCCCACTTCGGTCTTCCGTCGCCTGCGCTTCTAAACGGATTCCAGGACTTAGCTTAAGTGTGAACCGACTGAAGAAGCGTCACGACCGACTCTACTTGTTACAAATTGTTGACTAATGCATAATTACACGAATAAATCTGAGATTTGAAATTTATATTTGACCCCGAAAATTCAGACAAAGGTGTTCTTTTAATGCTTGGTTAAGTGCCGTTTTATGGCCGATTTCCGATGGCTCAGAATTTTGTTGATACAATAAAATCAGCATCGTGATCTTGTTTGCAAAACGGATGCGTTAAATATGGACAATGCCCTCCAAGCTATAAATAGTTTGGGTTGGTTTGAACTAGAATATAGTCACTCCGAGTGACTATAGACAGGTTTCGTCGTAGAAGTAAAAGATTCACTTTCCGCTAAACGCTTTTGACTAATTCCTTTCCTGTCCGATCCGAACAAATTAGCTACAAGATTACTCGCGGATCTCCGCCCACCTAGGCGCCGGGGAAGCATTAATTTCGTTTGACCAGTTAGTCGCTTGACTAATTCCTTGCCGGTGACAGCTCAAGGTCTCCGAGCTGCCAACAACAGTTAGGTGACCTGGTTTCCGAGCGTGGCCCTGCCGTGTGTCAGGTACAATTAGAAAGGAATCTCAAGTGCAACCCACATACGAAGACAAAGCGGAGAAGATTTATGCTCGATCGAAACCTGATTAGCCATAAAAACAAAAATCTAATCATTAATTTTATTGAGCTGACGATCACTTTTTTGTTGAAATCATTAACAAATAAGCGGTTCTGTATACATATTCAACACATACTAGTATTGCGTGAGCCGATCTCTGTCTTATGCATAAATTATAAGCCAATTATGGGTGAATCACGGCTACCCAATCACCGCTCGGATCAGCTCGGCGACTGGACTCGGCATCGGCATCGGCATCGGAATGGGACTCGGAATTGGAATTGGACCTCCGAGTGCAGGTCGCCTTCGGGCTAAAAGGCGGCGCGATTGAAGCTGTCTCTCTGCTCAAAACAATGTGTTAAATGTGTTAAGAGCGAAATTATGTTAGCAGATTAACAACATTCCAAAAACCCGATGGCCATTCACGATTCGCGCTCGGAGATCGATGAGCGTCGTCTTCCGCCAGCAGCGCCAGAAGCGACGGGAACGCAGCTCCGACCCGACCATATGCGACGGCTCAATTCGACCAGATTTTCTGGTCCAATTTTAACCGTCTACGCGTTGGCGGTATAAAAGCTAGTTAATAAAGATACATCCCGCATTCTATTAGAACAGTTCGGCAGCGATAGGACAACGTCAACATCAGAATGCGTGCATTTATCATTTTATGCTTTGTGGCGGCCGTCAGCGCCGGACGCTTGTCCGGCTACAACTACGGACAGGGAACCACTCAAGGAATTGGCAGCATTGGCGGTGGCAGCCTTGGCGGTGGCATTGTCGGAGTCAGCAAGGGACTAGGAGGACCAGTCAGCTATAATGCCGCTCCCCAGGCCGGAGTCACCAAGGAGTTCTACAGCTTCTACGCCAACGAGGCTGACTTTGAGGATCCCGATGCCCAGAGGAAGATCGACGCCTCCCTTAAGAAGAGTGTGCGCGTCATCTTCATCAAGGGACCGGAGAACCGCGGCTACGAGAACGCAGTCCTCGCCCTGGCCAAGCAGGCCGCCGAGCAGCAGACCGCCATTTACGTCCTGCACAAGCAGACGGACATCAACGAGCTGGCCAACAAGTTCAATGCCGTCCGCCAGAACGCCAACCAGAAGCCCGAGGTGCACTTCGTCAAGTACCGCACTCCCGAAGACGCTGCCAACGCCCAGCGCGCCATTCAGTCGCAGTACGACAATCTGGGTGGAACCTCCCAAGCCATCAACGGAGGAGTAGCCAAAGCCCTGAACTTTGCCTCCCGTGCTCCTGCTCCAGTCCGTGCCGGTCAGGTTCAGGCGCCCATCAGCGACTACCTCCCCGCCTCCATCATCAATCGCCTGCGCCACTAAAAAGCTTTCTATTAGATCCATTTGTTATAGGTTGTTTTCGAATAAAAATTGATAGAGTTTTGTTTTTAATTTAAATTACATTCGAGTAATTAATTCATTGGGTAATATAATTTTTTAACAGATTTGCAGTGCAAAAATTCGACGGTGGATAGCTTTAGATTGATTGTTGAAGACAAGGAGGTCAAGTTCCACCAAATGTATCAACATATGGGTCTTTCTCTGACGTCGAAGGGACATACGTACGCATTGCATGTGGTAGTCAAAATAGGAAAGATTTTCAAAATTATTTTTCCATTATGACGCACCTCTTGATTTGCCATATAACTCATGTTAAGGTCGATTTTGCGCCACTATTCGTCACTATTCGATCAAATCACACGCAGATTTAAATTGAGGCAACAGATGCGAATTTCTGATAAATTGATGTCTCTTTAAAATGGTTATATATAATTTAAAGAAAATATGATTCGTTTTTTTTTTTAATTTAATTTAAATTTCTTTCGCACGGGACAAAAATACTAGGTTCATAAGTCAAAAATCAATAATATCAAAAATCTTATAGGAAATAAACAAAAATAAAATTTTGCTTATTTGAATAGGTTTTGTAGCAATATATTTACAGCACTGTAACTATGTAGGGAAATAGAATTTAAATAATATGCAGCGCGCGTTGGTATCTTCCACTAAGTCGTGGAATATAAACAGTGGAGATACCAATATAATCTAATACATCGTGTAAGAACTATCCATAAGTCAAGAGGCGGAGACGTGGATCGAGCCCGACACTTTCGGATATTACGAGCGTCTTGGAAAGTACTGAGCGGAATAAAAGAAAGTCGTGCGAATCGTTTTAGAACAACCAATCAACAGTGCGGCAGTGCGGCAGTGGCTTACATCAATCTTGGGCCTCCTACAGTTTTCACATCAAAGTTAATGAAATTTTGGTCTCGGTGGACGTCGTCAACGAAATGCCCATATGATGGGATCATTAAGAAAGATATTTTAAATTGGATTTGTGTAGAATGAATCTAACCATAACCATAGATCTTTGATTTAAATGCATTCTGAATCATCTTTAACAGAAAATTTTTTATTAATTGCAGCTTTGATATGAAGAATATGCAGCTGCTATGGTAAACCATTTGAATCAAAGGATTCCCTTGACTACACTTTAAATCGTTTGTACGAGGCATTGCCCAGCATCGAAGAACCACCAATAAGGTTTAAAATACATTGGTTTAAAATGTAAAAATTGAAATTTATTTATTCATTAGTCAACAATAACTAGGATTTAAAATCAGTCAAAGATCGCTGGCGTTTTCGATTCAGAATCTCAGAATCAAACGAGCAACTTAGACGCGACGGAAGACCGAAGTGGGCAGGTAGGAGTTGTCGGGGTTCTGGGCAGTAGCCTGACGCACTGGACCAGCGGAGGCGAAGTTCAGGACGGGAGCAACACCGCCGTTGGTGGCCTGGGAAGATCCACCGAGCTGATCGTACTGACCCTGGATGGCGCGCTGAGCGTTGGCAGCATCCTCGGGAGTGCGGTACTTGACGAAGTGCACCTCGGGCTTGTTGTTGTTGTTGCTGCGGATGGCATTCAGCTTGTTGGCCAAATCTCCAATATCAGCCTGCTTGTTGAGGACATAGATGGCGGTCTCCTGCTGGGCAGCCTGCTTGGCCAGGGCCAGGGCAGCGTTCTCCAGACCACGGTTCTCGGGTCCCTTGATGAAGACGACGCGCAGGGCCTTGTTCAGAGAGCTGGAGACGCGTTCCAAAGCCTGGGGCTCATCGAAGTCCTGTTCGTTGGCGGTGAAGGTGAAGAACTCCTTCTCAAGCTCGGCAGCTGGGGCAGGGGCGTTGTAGGAGACGGGAGCGCTGAGAGATTCGCCGGACTGACCGCCAAGGCTGCCCAGACCACCGAAGCTGCCACCACCGATGCTGCCACCGCCGAGGGATCCTCCTCCGATGGAGCCACCACCAAGGCTGCCGCCGCCAATGCTGCCACCTCCGAGACCTCCTCCTAGACCACCTCCGAGTCCCTGGAGTCCTCCTCCAATGCTGCCACCGCCGATGCTGCCACCGCCAATGCTGCCACCACCAATGCTGCCGCTGCCAGGAGCGAAGGACAGGCCGGAGTTGGAGTGTCCCACGGGCTGGTAGTTGTAGCCGAGCTTATCGGCGCAGGCGACTGCCACCAAGCACATAACCTAGGGAGAGAGGAGCGTCGCTGTAATCCTTGGAAATCCTTCGGGCTGTCCTGGATACTTACAATGAATGCACGCATTTTGAATTTAGTTCTTTGACTTCGACCACTGAGCTGTGTCTGACGTTTGCATCACCGAAAGGTCCAGTATTTATACGAAAACCACCGATCGGTGTCACTAGACTGCGCTCAAGTTCATGCAGACTTTTGCCGTGGCCACGGAGGCTGCTCCGTGGCTGGCCGTGTGGTTGTTGCTGCCGTTTCCTCAGCCGCTGCCGATCGGCTCTGCTCGGCTTGGGCTTGGAGCATTTTGCAGCGCGACATCTTCTGCTGCCTTTGTCTCTCAAATGGCCATCCGCCTGTGACAGAGACGCCAAAGTGATAAAACAATGGCGCCAACGCTGCGGACAAAGCGCATCATGCCATCATGCGGCCCTATTCTTGCAAATGTTGCTGCCATCATTATGATAATTTTCCAGTCTCAGAGCCAGGCGAGAGCCAGTACCAACTACAAGCAGCACCAGCCCTAGCGCGAGTCGCATTAATGCGACAACCTTTGGCGGTCGCTCAGATTGTAAATCGATGAAGCAGCATCAGGGCTGGCAGGCTCGGGTCATCAGCAGAGCAGAGCAGAGGAGAGCAGAGCAGAGTATCAAACTTGTTTAGCAAATGCCACTAAAAATGGTCATGCTTTCAATAAAAGAAATGTTTTTCTTCATATTTTATATGCTAAAACATTTGGCGGAGCATCAAAACGAGTTGTTCGAGACGAAACTAGACGAGACCTGCTCGGTTTTTCTACACTTTTTAGTTTGTTCAGCCGCATATTTCTAGCTGGGAATTCCCAAACGATTATTGCGTCCGCCGTCAACATTTTTTTTTTTGGTGTTGTTCGGTATTTGGAACTGGCTGCTCTTTTGCTGGTCTTTCCGAGCTTATCAAGTTACATTGAATGGAATGCTGGCTAGAGGCTGGTGGTTTTTGGGAAACAATGGACGAAATCAATTTTCGCCAGCCTTTTTTGCCCATCCATTCATCCATCCATCCATCCATCTATCTATCGGTCCATCCATCCGTCTGTCCGTACCGTCATCTCAACCATTTAACCTGTAGCAAAAAGACACGGCTCTGTTCGGCCAAATAGAAGCCATAAAGTTAACAACCGTTGCGACCTTGAGATTTTTTACTGTTGACCACCAATCGCCCAGAGCCAACCGGCGGTAATCAGCTGGCGCCAGGCGACCATTTAATCTGATCAGCGATTATCACGTTTTTCATCATGGTTTATTGATATCATAAAAATTATTGCTTTTCGCGTATTGATACACAAAATTTCGGGTGTAGAAGGAGCGAAATAGCAACAACACTGCCGCAAAACTGATTCGATTTGCATAATTAAAGAGTTTCAGCAGAGAGAAATACCCAAGATCCATATTTAAGATAGACGCTTAGATTTGCAAATCAATAGCTGTGACTGCTGGCCGTGCTTATGACTAACATATATTGATTGATATCATGGATAACTATAGCTAGTATGAGTAACCCAGCGACGGGGGTCATGGAGCAGGCCTATGGCGAGTCATTCATGAGGTCACTGAGCATCTCTCGTTCTATGTGTATCTTTCTAGGTCTCCCCAGTCGGAGCGTGCTCATCGAAGTCTAATCAAGGTTCAGTATCGAAGTCACAAACAATTTGTCTTGTCTTTGTCTAACCCAACCACCGAAACCCAACCCAACCCAACCCGATCCACTTGAATCGTATCGTATCGCATCGTATTGGATTCAACTGTTGCTGATCCACCAATGGCCGGAGTCTCTGCGGCTGCTCTGCCACTCTCCATGTCGCTGGTGGCAATGTCATATGCAAACTAAACAAATGTAAACCTAATAAAACAAACCAGCCACAATTTCAAGGTCTCGGGCGCCACACGCACATAAAAGATGCACGCAGCAGCGACATAAAAATGCGACAAGATACGAGAGGGCAGCGGAGACGGGCGACCAGACCTCTCCCTCCAGTCCCCCCACAAAGTCAGCCGATAATAGCGGTCCGACAACGTTGGCGTATCAATAAATAAATAAAAAATAAAAATCGACCAAGCTCCGGGAGGAAACCCCGGCGTCCGGACAGCGCTTTATGCAAATGCCCTTTGGGGTCAATCGATCTATTTACAAAATCTGTCACTGTTGATGTTTTTTTGGCCCCCTTTCTTCTGCACAATAAGCCTGCCCCCTATATTATTTTATTGCCAGTGTAGCGACAACAAACAACAAACCGAAAACAAAGTAAAATCCGAAAGAGCAAACTCAAATTATATGGCATAATAGCTGTCAAACCGGGGCGGGGCGGAGCGGTGCGGGGCGTTGTCTTTCAGGTGCAAAAACCACTAAAACGAAACTGTCATCTCACATCATAAATTGGGGCATTAGTAAGTTCTCTAAATCACAAGGTTTATGTGCAATAATTTGCAGTTTTCGATAGTGGTCGGACCAGTTTGTTTGCTTCTTGCCTTTCTTTTGCAGAAATGTTTGAGCGGCTGCCTTTTAAGAACATTTTACGAGCTGAGCTGTCCGCCGCTCTTTTGATTCTATTTTAACGAAATATTTCCGCATACCGCACCAAAAAAGGCAACAAAAAAACGGTTTCGCTAAAAATACAAAAAAACCAAAGAACAGCCAGTTGCCAGTTAGCCATAAAATTGGCCGGTGTCTGCACAAAATAAAAAAAAAAAATAAAAGAGATATGCAAATTTATTAAATTTGATATGCAAATATCGGATGGGATAGCAATTATTGCAAGCGA